CAGCAGAACACAGAGACGCACCGTTGTTATCTGAGCTCAGCCACTGGTTGAAGTTTTCTTCTTCTGTCGGTCACTGGACTTATTTGGTACTCTTTCTTAAGGTTTTAGTTTGTCTCGTTCGCTTCTTTAATTTGTTTTTGAAGTGAACCGAATTGACATGCGCAGATTTCTGGTTTCTAAACCTAGCTACAGTGCTAAGGCACTAGCGGCAGAAGCCGGCTCATCAGCTGCTGCTTCTCAACTCGCCATAACCAGTTGCACAAGCACCGCAGCCCCTCCTGCTGTCCCCGTCACTACCAACTCAGCGTCGCTGTGGGTGGCACAGACCTGAACAATAGTGCAACATCCCAACCCACCGCTCTTGTTTTCCCCAAGCGTCATTTTGGGAAGAACATGCACTCATTTTTCCCTGCCTGGTATCGTGGGAGACCATGGCTGGAATATTCAGTAAAGCTGGATGTGTGCTTTTGTTTCCCATGTCGTAAGTTTGGAGGGAAGAACAATGATAGGGATTTGGCTTTCACAAAACAAGGATTTAATAATTGGAAAACCTGGAAAAGGACAAGGGATTCACAAAGCATGCATCAAGTCAATGACACATTAAAAATGAAAAAGCTGGTCTGAAATGTCCCAAAGAGTGGCCACAGGGTAAACAATAGGTAATTTAATAAGTCCCACACAAATCGAAAAAAACTGACACTACATAAAAACTATTGGAGAAGTAGTTCAGTTCCTAGCAGTAAATGAACTGCGACTTCATGGCAGTGTGGAAAACGGTGATGATTTCTCTGCAGGACTGTCCTTAAAAATGGTCGACTACACACTGGCCAAAGACTCCAAATTTAATTAAATAAACAAACACATGCCAGAAAATGCAAAATACACATCTCACAACATACAAAACAAAATTACTGAAAAACTGGCAAAAATGGTATTAAAAAGATCAAAGATAATTATGACAAAGCAGATTATACTGGGTTATATACTGGGTTTTGCATTAAAAGTGATGGAACTAGGAACAGATGTGGAGAATCAGTCATTCATGGTTAGATTTGTCTGTAATGGCATTCCAGATGAACACCTGAGCGGTCTGCTTGACCTCAGTCAGTTAAATGCTGAATGTATTACCACCCAAATTCTTGAGCATCTCTCTGACTCAGGCTATAGTGCAGCTGAAATGATCAGTCAGTGCTATGATGGAGCTTCTGTCATGAGTGGGCTCAGGGGTGGGGTTCAGACCTTACTGCAGAAGAAGGTAGGGAAGGATATTCCCTACATCCACTGCTACAACCACCAGCTGCACTTGGCAGTGGTCCATGCAATGCAGGAAGAGCCATGTGCAACAACCTTTTTTGATCTATCAGGATCTCTACACTCATTTTTCCACCATCATTATGTTTCACAGAACCATGACGTTCCCTTCCTGAAACGTTGGAGATCAGGTGGACAAGCCACCATGATGTGACCAAGTGCCTTGTGGAGAATCAGGATGTTATCATGAGTATCCTGTCAGAGGTTACAGAGGACAGAGCTGCTGCTGTTTATTACAGAGGGATCAGGACTGTTGATGATGTTAAGGAGGCTAGATTAGATAGATAGATGGATAGATAGATAGATAGATAGATAGATAGATAGATAGATAGATAGATAGATAGATAGATAGATAGATAGATAGATAGATAGATAGATAGATAGATAGATAGATAGATAGATAGATAGATAGATAGATAGATAGATAGATAGATAGATAGATAGATAGATAGATAGATAGATAGATAGATAGATAGATAGATAGATAGATAGATGGATGGATAGATATATAGATAGATAGATAGATAGATAGATAGATAGATAGATAGATAGATAGATAGATAGATAGATAGATAGATAGATAGATAGATAGATAGATAGATAGATAGATAGATAGATAGATAGATAGATAGATAGATAGATAGATAGATAGATAGATAGATAGATAGATAGATAGATAGATAGATAGATAGATAGATAGATAGATAGATAGATAGATAGATAGATAGATGGATGGATGGATGGATGGATGGATGGATGGATGGATGGATGGATGGATGGATGGATGGATGGATAGATAGATAGATAGATAGATAGATAGATAGATAGATAGATAGATAGATAGATAGATAGATAGATAGATAGATAGATAGATAGATAGATAGATAGATAGATAGATAGATAGATAGATAGATAGATAGATAGATAGATAGATAGATAGATAGATAGATAGATGATAGATTAATGCAGCAATAGGTAACATGTCCCATTTGTGCCGGTCCCAGGCCCGGGTAAATGCAGAGGGTAGTGTAAGGGATGGATCAAAGGAAAAGATAGATATATGCATAGAAGAACTGTAATGATGATAGCATAGTTTTCTATGCATTTCAGGGATTTGGGGGTATGTGACACCCGAAAAATTATTTCCCAGACCTGCCCCCCCCCCACCCCCACCCCCCACCCCCCAACCCCCACCCACCCCCCTTGTAGAGCTGGCTAAATCCAGCCCTGGCTGAGAGGAATGTTAAGCATCAATTGTTCCTAAGTGAATACAAGTTCAGCTTTAGCAAATTAACAAAACTGTTATGATTTTATGAGAAAATCACACCAATATTTATCTAAATAAGCTTAAAAGTGGGTCGAGACAAATAATTATTTTGAAGATAAGCACAACGGAGAAGTTCATTGAGGCACTTATAGAACGTGTTCATTTTGAAATATGATCACCGATGCTGAGTTTCATACGGTGATGTCAGAAAGAGCCACACAGATCTACGTCATGCTAAAAATGTGCGTTCTTGCACTCACACATCCTGGCTCGCCACTGGGAAGGCTGTTGTTGGTTTAGAAGAAGAAAAAGAAGAAACTAACTTTTACATAGCACCTCTTAAAATAAAAATGAACAAAATTTTTAAAATATAGAAACAAAAAATTCAAATATTAAAAAATGACAAAAATTTGTTAAAGAAATGAGAAAAAATATCATAAAGATTAGAACAATTTAAAATTTGACCAAAAAGAAATGTGAGGAAAAGGAAAGAGAAAATGAATAGGAGTTAATCAATGGATCCCAGCAAAGGTGGAATTGGTAGAAAGGAGAGGGTGGTGATGAAGATTCGAAGGCCACACAAAGCCAGCCTGAAAAAGTGAGTTTTCAGCTGCTTTTTAAAGGAGACCACTGAGTCCACTGATCTCAGGCTCAGGGGGAGAGAGGTCCAGAGCCTGGGGGCCACCGCAGCAAATGATCTGTCACCTTTGGTCTTTAGCCTGGTGCTGCACAACCAGTAGGCTTTGGTCACTGGACCTCAGGGACCTGCTGGGGGTGTAGGGACTAAGAAGATCACCAATGTAAGATGGTGCCTGTCCATGTAAGGCCCTAAAGACCAGAATCAGGATCTTGAAATGAACCCTGAAGTTGACTGGCAGCCAGTGAAGCTGGAGGAGGTGATGTGGGCGTACTCGGAGCGCATATTCTGAACCACCTGTAGACGTTCAGGGAACTGAAAACCAAGTTGCAGTAATCTAAGCGTGAGGAGATTAGTATCCAAGAAACAGCAGAGCACATCTCGGCCAGCAGAAGCTAACTGTTAGCATTGGCAACTCCACCACACAGCAGAACTCCTTCAGGCTTGTGTTTTTGTGCCGATAAAACATCAAAGTTGGAGTCAGTGGTAGAATCAGGAAATAATAATGAGTAAGAATCCAAATCATGCTGCTTCTGCCTCACACATCTCCAATAAACGTCTCCTTCCTAAAACAGGAGCGCCCAAGCAGTAAATGACTTACAGGGCATTCATTTATAGAGACCACTGCAAATGTATTGAAAGAACGAGTGTAGGGTCTCTTTAAGAAGTAGATATCATAGACTGATTTGCTTTCCGGTGGATTTAATTAGAATTAGTGTATTATATAAAATGTTTTGGCTGTTATCGTAAAATAAATCTAATCAATCTGCTTTTATTGCACCTCTTTCAATTCCAGGATAGTGATTTGGAAAAATGCTGTCAGACCTCTGCAGAGCACATAAACAAATCCCACAGTTTATTACAAAAAATAGGTTGCATTCCTGCTTAATAACCAGTTCATACTGGTTCCATGGAGTTGCACCCAGGCTGTAATCAATTCTGACTTTTACAACCACACAGGATGAGAAGCTGACATCATGAGTGAGACTTTCAAGATTTGGTCATATTGTGAATAAAAATAGTGCAGGGATGCAGTCAGAGACATTAGGGGTTCAGTTTTATCTGAGAGCCAGCTGCAGCGTTTGGCGTCTGACCTCATCCACCACACAGTGATGTGAGTCTGCCCAGGTCCTCCTGTAACACACATGTGGTCTGGTGAGCTGCTGGCTGCAGCTGTCGACCACGCACAAAGGTCTGTGGGACCTCCTTGGTGCTCCAGAACCACACCGCCTTCAAAGGACCATTCTGAAAAGCAGACAAGGAGCCGATAAAACTCAGAGTTAGATACAGGACAGCCTCTATGTATGGAAACTGTGAGTCATTTGTTGTCGGTTACTATGGATACCTGTGTTTATCCTTGTTTGTATAAACATGTGGCGGCCCAAGAGACTTGAAACAATTCAGGATCTAAACACATTTAAATGAGATTCAACAAATCTGGAAAACCCAGTTGAACTTCACTGGATCACATATAAATACAGCAGATGTATGAAATCATACACGGGAAATGGAATTTCCTAAGTTGTGTGGAGCCAGACTTGCTGACGACCTGGTGGTTGTGCTATCCAGCCACCTGTCTGGTTAGCGCGGCTTGTAAAGCCCTCATTTCCTGCAACTGCCCAAGGATGGAGGGGGAAGTCTGGGGCATGCAGGAAAGGTGGGAGAATTTCCTTGTTCCTCACTCCGTCTGTATGAGACAGCCCACCACCAGCACCTATAAACTCATTTATCCCGATCCCACCTATGTGTCCGGATACCGGATTACATTTAGGAACTAGTCAATGTGAAAACTGTGAAGTCCTCTATGGGAATCTGTAGGTTGAAACCGAAGTGAAGAGTTTTCCCAGGTCACTCCTTTCTCTGCATGGGGCCGTCTGAGGAAGATTTTAAAAGCAGGTTCTTGCACAGATGCTCCTCCCTCAATAACACTCCTACGAGTGCCCTTTTTCACATCCACAATTCAGACACACACAAAAACAGATTTTGGCCGACTTGCTATGACAGTCTTACCGGATTTTTGATTGAAGAAGAAGAAGAAGACGCACTTCAGAGAGAAACTCCAGATCTGATAAAATGTTGGTGTGGACAACTCTCATTCTGGCCTCTCAGCTGCTGAATGTGGAGGCCCAGGCTTTGGGTGAGTGCTGTTTGAAGGGTTTTTATTTGCCTTTCACATTTATTTTCATGGGTTGCATTAATTAGAAAAAACTAATTCTAACAGCTGTGCTTGCTGATGGCTGTGTCGAATTCAACACACAAAAAATAGACCCTGGGTGTTGGGTTATTCTTTATGTTCCTGAAAGATTTCATGACTTGACCATTTTTAACACATCAGGTTAGGTCACAACGGAGAAGCAGAATTTGTAGGATTAAATATCATGATCAGAAAAACCCAAAGGATTAGTCACGAGGAGCCACACTCGCTGGGTCTGAATATCAAATTTCTGAGTATTTGAAGAGTGAGACGCATTTAAAGAATCACTTCAGTTTGATTTTTAGAAGAAGCAATGCAAACATATTCAGCAAATGTCTTTGAAGACTGATTGATAACGCTGTTCCAAGGATGACTAAAGTTTTGAACTCACGTTTTACTTCAAAGACACCCTGCTGATAAACAACATGCCCACTTAAAGTATTAATGAATATTACTTAAAGGGATGGTTCAGGTTCTTTTGAAGAAGGTTTTTGAGAGAGTTTTGTGACAAATAACTTACTTGTCATGGTTTTTATAACAGCCTCAGTTAGGAGAAATAACAAAACATTCTGGCCAGATTGACAAGCTAACTGCTAGTCTGAGTAGGGACAAGAACAACATTCAACTTATATTTTTTAAGCAGTTTCTAAAAATGTTTTCATAAACCTTTGCACTTCTGTCCGTTTTGCATGAAAGAATAAATTCAGTAGGTTTGTTGTTATTTTCTTTACAAGAAAATCACCAAACTGCTAGCTGCTATTGTAAATTACTATGGAATTGTTTGTAAATTTTGTAACATTGTAAAGTTTGCAACTCTAAATTGATCATATATGTCTAAAATTTGGTTTGCATAAACTGCTCTGAAAGGTTTTAGACACAGGAGTTGTTTTAAGATAACATAAATCCAGTTACAAGCAGACTAGCCTTTTGCTAGTAAATGTTGCCATAATTCATCTTTCTCCAAACTGAGGTTTTTAACAGAGACATCTAACAAAATTAATATTTTAAATGTTCATAATCTTTATGAAAAATTTAAATTCATGCTCATATGAGTATAAATGGGCCTGATTGCCCCATGTCTGCAGAGTAATGGGCTCGACACACGGGAGGAGACATCACCTCTCCTCCATTCATTTTTAATGAGACATGCGCAACAAAGCGATAATCGCGGGTCTCCCTCCTACCAAGCCAAACGTGAAAAACGGGCGTGTGAAATTTTGCGCTCGTGCACGTGTCGAGCACAGGCGACTCAGCAACGCGATCACAGAAAGTTGAAATATTTTCAACTTTTCATTGCTGTCGCTCGGACGAGGACCAATCAACGGAGGTTTCATTCACTGACCAATGAACGAGCAGGATGATCCGTACATCTCCGAGCAAACATGAAGGAGAAGTTTATTATTATTATGTTTTATATAGTAAAATCAGAAGTAAGATTTCACATAACTCTAGCAGCACCTTGTGAAACATCATATCTACCGCTTTATTAACTCTAAACCGCTTAAATAACCTTAATTCCCTCCAACCTGACACAGCCAAACAAAACAACGGAAGTTTCAATTTCGCCATGGAACAGAACACGACGGCTTTGCCTCTGCCGCGGGTCGCCTCGCCTGTGTCGAGCCCCTAAGTAGTCAACGCAATCCTTTTTTAAAGTGAGCTATCCCTTTAACATGTTTGACCCAAACCCACGTTAGAAGTGAAAATCCTTAGATTCAGCAGAAATGTTTTAAACTCTAACATGGCGTTGAAGATAGAGGAAATAAAAACTATTTTTATTAAGTTATTTAACAAATCAACATAAAACTTTTGCTTCATCTTTTCTTTATTTTCACTCTCGTTATCTCAAAAAATCTACAATCCATAGTTTAAATGTGGCTTTTGTGTTCGCAGATTTATTTACTAAGTTAAGAATTGTTTTGTTTTATGTAAATGAGTATTTATTCCCTCACTGATTAAAAGTTCTACATAATCTGAGTATTGATACTGTCTAAACCTGACTGTGTGGCGACAGAGCTTCCCAAATGGACATATGGGATCTTATTCTTCCATAATCTTCCAAAAATGTGGTTTGTTACCAAGTGACTGTAACTCTGGAAGCTATATAATAACTAAAGTCATCCTTTGTGTACAATTTTTAACTAAATTTGCAAATGCTGCCAGTTTAGACTGAAAATTTACAACAAAATCAAAGAAAAAGCCAAACGAGATTTTGTTTTTGCTGCTAATTACATTCTGATGTTGATAATACGTTTCCCTCATCACTGTTAAAGCCTGACATGACATTTTATAAACATTTAATCCCAACTTTTCCTGACAAATGCTCCATTGTGGAGCATTTGTTCAGCTGTTACAATGAAAGATGTTCACCATTTGCTTACTTAATGGTAAACTAACCGTGTCAGATTTATGTGCTGGCTTTAAGGAAAGAGGCGAGACTTGGGATTACTTTATGGCTTTGAGCTGGAGTAGCTTTATGGAGCTTGAAATTTCAGGTTAATCAAGAGGTGACGTGAGGTATTTTCTCAGGGTGTTTTGCAAAAGACGTCATTGACCCCCTCAAAGCCATCCAGAAGATTAGCGTGCAACAGAACAATGTGCTGTTTGATTGCACATCATCTCTGAAGCCACACGTACTTCTGTCAGCATCACATTATTAGAAAAACAATTAAAGCTACAATGTGTAACATTTTTACCTGTTTACTATCAAATTCTGTGCATCTCGTTTTTCTAACTTGTCCTTTTTCATTAATATTTCTCTCCAAAAACTATAATAACATGTGTAATATTCACTTCAGTTTGAAATTTTACATTTTTAATGCATAAACTGTGGTCAACACTCCATGCATGCACCATCTTGAAAGTATTTAAGAACCCACAGGCTCAGTGTTTTGTGTTTGCACTTTGACATTATGTAGCCTAAAAGAAACAGCAGAGGGCAGCAGTACACCCTGGAAGCGTTACCGTCTGCCAAACAAACTAAGTAGAAGAAGAGACTAGGTGCACTGTTGCTGTACTTCATTAGTTTGAAATAACAAACAATCAGATCGAAAGACACATCAAATTAGTCAGGACCTCTTCCTGTCCAACTCTCAGCAGCCACATACGATGAGCTGACGGCTCACTATTAGCTGGAAACTAGCCTCCGAGCAAAGTCCCTAACTCGCTAACTTACCTCAAGTTGCTCGTTCAACTTTTCTTTATACAAGAGCTCCAATCCGGCCCAAACATATCAATTCCAAAGTCCTTCTTCAAAACGTCCGCTAAAGTTCCTTCTACTCAAAACTACTTGTGCCCCTCCCACTATGCTCCAGCACTCCTTCGCTAGCCGGTGGCTAAGCTGCTGTTGTTTACTCAATCTCCACTACGTCTCCCTAGCTCACAGCACTTCAACGTTCATTCGTTAGTGGGTTGCTAAGCTACTCTTTCTCTGTACACAGTGGTGCTAGAGTTGCGTTTTTTTACACACCGGGCACATAAATTACATACTGTCCCTTTAAACCAAGTTTTCCTAAACCAAATGATGTACGTTCATTTATCACTTATGGTGAGTCAGTCCCAGCTGAGTGCAGAGATGGAGACATCTGAAGCGTCCATGTTAGAAATATAAGGAGCAAAAGAGAAAGAGACAAGAAAAAAATTGTGTGGGCCAGCTGCGACCAGTCTCTGGCACCATTTGGGAACAATTTTGGTTCCTGACTACAGAAGGCCTTGCTGACTGCTTTATGGTACTTGTGTATTCATCATGTGTGCAGATGGTGGACTAGAGATTCAGTGCACATCCCCCTGTGGTCTGCCCAGCTCCCAAGTCGTTTTATTAAAGAGAAACTCAAACCATAAGTGTTTTCTCTTGTCTTGCGCGTCTCTCTTCCCCCAACATCCTGTCGGCGAATGCTCTACGTTCTGACATGCTCCTGCCTGTAGATAAAACTTCACTTTAATCAGCTAGTTTGAGCGAAAACTGATTATCAAAATAATTTTATTAAAGGTTGAGCTCTCCTTGAATTAATGCATATCACCAGCTGCCTCTCATGCCAGAGTTTTTAAACATGACCCTGTCGAGTGTGCAGAGACTTGCGGGAGAGCATCAACATCATCATCATTTTCCTGTTGACTCTGAGTGTGTTTACTCCAACAAAAGCAGAGTGTTGCTGCAGGTTGTAAATATTTATACGTCATCATCTGTTGCTCATGTGCTTTACCTTTTTCCTCCTCCACATCGCCTCCAACAGTTTACGATCTGCTCACCTCACCTGACTGCTTGCCAGACCTGCTGCAGGGGGGATTGGCTGAACAAGGGGTGAACGACGCTTTCATCTTAACATCCTTCAAGTTGCTGCCCAAAACCGGAACCACGGTGTTCAGTTTGTACAACCCCAGGGACAACAGCAAGTATTTTGAGTTCACGGTGATGGGGAAACTCAACCGAGGTAAGAGCTGCACCAACTAATCGTTTGTGTCAACAATAGCATAATATTTGCTCCAAATTGTTCTTCTGCACAAATCAGCTGGAGCACTCAGGCAGATCTGAGCCTATTGATTTGCTTTGTTGATGTGAAAGTTTGTAGTATTTCAATTTGCTAGTTAGTTAGTTAGTTAGTTAGTTAGTTAGTTAGTTAGTTAGTTAGTTAGTTAGTTAGTTAGTTAGTTAGTTAGTTAGTTTGTTTGTTTGTTTGTTTGTTTGTATGTTTGTTTGATAAAAAATGTGCAGCTTTAACACTTGAATGAATAAACAAGACTTGAAAACATGAGTTCAGATTAGACCGACGCCAGGCAGCAAACTGTAAGCTGTGCATCAGACACACAGTTTTCTCAGAAATTTTAAAAAATAAAAGCAAAACTAAGAAATCACTAAATAAAATATTGTGTCAATATGGCAGTCAGTCTTGAATAGATTAGATCTACATTGTAGTTTAAAGCTGTCAGGTTTCTATTTGGGCCCAGAAAACTGCTACCAGTAAATGTAAAAGGGGAAATATTATGCAAAACTCACCTTTTTCATCATTTTGTGCTGCATGTGGATCTCTATAAACACTTCAGACATGAAGAAAAAAAACATGTCCATATATTTTCGTTCAGTTTTTGGTTTTGGGGAATTTTTTGCTTAAAAAAAAAGTCTCCATTTGTGACATCACAAATGAGGAAATTGGAATAAACCACCTCTTATGTGGAGAAGAGCAGCTGCTATTGGAGGAGCAACGGCTCTACGCCAAGCCCCTGCTGGATATCAGATGCTTCTCAGCTAATATCTGCCTGGGCAGGAGGGGTGGGCGTGGCCAGCTCCAGCTTGTTCTCTTAAAGTGACAGAGCCCTGAAATGACTCATTCTGGAAGGTACTTAAACTGTCAAGAATAAGTAGTTGAAAAAGATTAATGTGAGAGTGATTTAGAGCAAAGAATTTCATTGATGTGTTTTGTAGAAATAGTATAACTTGGGAAAAATGTAATAATATGTCCCCTTTACATTTAATTTCTGATCATTGACAGCTGTTATGTGGGCACATATTTGCAAAAACCTGCATTGGATTTACATGTCTGACGCAGCAGAATCTCACTCAGCCGCTGACCTACAGTCCTTTTTACACTGCTGTCCTGTTGTGTTGCTTGTTCTCCTTTCACTTCTCAGTACTTGAGCTACCTGTGCTAAATAAAAACTCCTTCCTTCTCTATCAGTTGTAACATGGATGATTAGATCCCCTGGTAAACGTTCTCATCTCTGCTCCTTTCTCCCACACTGCCACATTCTCTCACAGCTGTGTTACGTTACCTGCGGAGTGACAAGAGAATGAGCTCCATTACCTTTAACAACCTGGTGCTGGCGGACGGCCAACAGCACCGACTGTTGTTCCACCTGAAGGGGCTGCAGCAGCAGGAGCCAGGTGGGGTGGAGCTGCATCTGGACTGCAGGCTGGTGGAGACGGTCAGGGATCTCCCTGCTGCTTTCCGAGGTTTGCCGGCAGGGTACGGTCTGGTGGAGCTGAAGACGATGCAGGCCAGGGCCCAGGTGAGCTGTCACTTATGATAACTCCCCCCAATAATGACAGTGTTTCTGTCTGTAGTGCTTACTAAACTTTGCTTTATTTGAGCAGGAAAGCTTAGATGAGCTGAAACTAGTGGTTGGAGACTCGTTTGAGAACGTTGCATCCCTGCAAGACTGCCATTTCCAGCAAAGAGACTCTGTCCAAACTCTGGGTAAGATTCTTCAAGTGGAAATAATGTCTGGAGAGACAGCTAAACGACTCCCAGGATAACACTCCCAGCTGTGATGAGCTGATGAGAAACCTTCAGAGAATCCTTCTTCTCTCATTTAGTTCAAATTAACAGTCCCTTTCTCTTAGGGGTCAACACGAAGCAGCTGTCTAATCAAATGCAGGAGTTAACCAAGGTGATAAATGAACTGAAGGATGTGCTCATTCAGCAGGTAACTACCTCAAATGGTTCCTGTGAGGCTGCCTAATCCCTGTCTCCTCAGCTCTGACCTCCATCCTAAATGCAAAATAAACCTCTTAATGTTTTTGCTCCTCCAGGTTAAAGAAACCTCTTTCCTCAGAAACACCATCTCCGAGTGTCAGGCCTGCGGTCAGAACATTCACAGTAACACCCACTCACCTGAGCCATGACATACGGATGAATGTGACGATTTAGTTTTTAAACAATTGTTTTTGTTGGTATTTAAAGGTCTTGGTGGAACTGAGGTGGTGAAGCCGAGCTGTGGCCCAGGTGTTTGTTTCCGTGACGATATGTGCATTGAGACGGCGGACGGCGTCGAGTGTGCTCCCTGTCCGGATGGATACACTGGAGATGGTTTCAACTGTGATGATGTAGATGAGGTAAAGTGTTTCTAAATGCTTTGATCTGCATTCAGAGAGGCCAGTTATATAAATCGCTGACAGAAATATGAAGTTGGCTCATATTACTGTAAATGCATTTGCTGCATCAGGTTCAGGTTTTGGATCAAGATAAAAAACGCTGTGAATTATTGGAGCATGATTAATCTTGTCCGAGGGGTGTCCCCATATCAAAGAGTACACCTTGATATCATAAAATAAACGTGGTGTTAGGATTCTTCATGAAAATATTTTGGTGTTAAATATCAGTTTAGGAAAAAAATATGGCAATGTGAAGTAAAACTGTCTTTTGTTTTTTTAGACGGTTTAAAATTTCCATTAAAACTGAAAAACACTGAAAATCCTTTAACATATTATGCTTTCATTTTTTTTTCTTTTTACCCAGCAGTCTCAAAGATATCCAAAACAACATAAATTTATGTGAAAAAGTAACTCTTGCCAAAACTCAGTGGCTGGTTTTAAATCTCTTACTGGGCACTTCTACTGGACACATGCTGATCAGAGCCTCCTCTCCAGTACCTTGGAGCAGACCTTTCCAGGGAGACCAAGGAGAGATTCCTCTATAGATGAACCACCTCAGAGATCGGACAGTCCATCCCCAGACCACCCAGCTCTGGTTCCTCCTCTTAATGCATGTCGTTGAGATTGAGAAGCACACACACACACACACACACACACACACACACACACACACACACACACACACACACACACTTTTTCCAAAGTCAATTTCTGTCCCCAGCACTTTTTACCATCCAAAAACAACATTACGTTATATTCAACAGACACGGGTTGAGCACCAGGACCAAGCGGAAAACAACCGTTCGTGTTGAAGCCTGTTTCCCATTAGAACCGTACATAAGCTCATCTAATGGCTCTGCTGATACTTGCTAACATGTGATTGGCTGTTCCAGCCACCTGTGTACTTGACAGTTCTGCATTCCTGACGTTGCATAAAAGAGCCTCGAGGTTATAGTTGCATACTTATTTATTGTATACTTACTGTAAAGTCCTCATGCCGGTTGGGTCCCCCCACCTCTAAAGTAAAAATTATGTCCATGCTTCCACCGCCCAACTATCGCCCAGTCGATGTCAGCCGCCCCACTGAGAGATGGGTCTTTGTTGGGTTTTTATTAGTCAGAAGACAACATCTGCCACACTCCCATGAACTTTTCTAAACTCCATTAGTTTTTCACCGATTCATATTGGTTTGCACTTTTTAACTGTAATTAATAAAATCATCAAGTTTAAAATACTACAACGTGACAGAAAAGCTAGAAACTAGATGACTCTGTAAGAAGAAAAATGACTTCTCACAGCAATGAACCTTGAAAAGGTAGAAAAGAGAATCAAGGCTAAGAACTGACATGAGGTCTGAGTGATCGTTATATGCTTAAGACAGAAATTCTGAAATCTAAAGGACAAAAATTATTCTAAGTGTGTGTTTTTGCTCCTCGGACTTTTCCTGTTTGTTATCACGTTCCTCTCTGAGGACTAGGGTTGGGCATTGTTTGATTTTGAACAATTCTGATACCAATTCCTCGTTTCGATTCCGGTTCCTATCCATTCCCGATTCCGATTCTTTCAAGACCTGACATGCTTTGCATGAGCCAGCTAACCACAGGTCCTACTTGATGAAATAATCTTAACTTCAACATGAATTTTAATTCTATGAACAACAACATCACCTTCATTTAGACAAAAACATGTTTTGGAGAAAAAAAGAAAAAGACTTGCAGCACCACCAGTGTGTTTGTTTCTGACCACAAAGTCTGGAAGAAGCCTCTGGGCTGAGAGGCTAAATGTCTCCAACACATCCAGAAACGTCCAGCTGTTTTCAGCTAAAACTCTCAGGATGATCATGTCCAGGATGACTGAGAACTACACCTCCATGCTGCAGCAGCATTCAGTCAGAACAGAAACTTAAACGTAGCTGCTGTCAGAAACAATCTAACAGATTTTAAACATTAAAACTCAACAGAAATAGTTCAGAAAGGAAATAAAATATGTTATTTATTATTATTAAAATTATTTATTGTGGCAGAAGCTGGTGTTGTCCACCACAGTGAAAGCTGCTCTAGCATGATGACTTTAATTATTCTACAGGTTATTGTTCAGCCTTCTGACGCTCACACACACACACACACACACACACACACGAGTGTTGGTGAGCAGCTGCGTCTGATTGCTGACGCTCCGTGTGTGTTTTTATTTCTGCAGTGAGACAAACTCACCTTACACCGTCCAGAGTTTGTTCTTTAAAGCTTCTATTAAATCCACCGTGTTGATGTATTTTGACAAGTTTCCTCTACGCTGCAGGAATTAAAGTTTACGTTATGAAGTAAAAGTTCGGCAGACGTGTTTGTTTATATCTGGCTGCTGCGCGCTGTGTGTGTGTGTGTGTGTGTGTGTGTGTGTGTGTGTGTGTGTGTGTGGTGGTGTGTGTGTGTGTGTGTGGGGGGGGGGGGAGGGGGGGGTTGGTACTGCACACAGACGCGTTGATCACAATTTGCAGATCACGTTTCTTCTTCACGAAGATCGGACGCGGATTCCTCGACCGTTGGCATTCTAGGGATCGAAATAAAAAATTTTGAACAATTCCGGGGAAAATTAACTGTTGGAACCGGTTCCAATCGATGCTTGATGCCCAACCCTACGTGAGGACTAGCCCCTTCAGCAACTTTATTGTACATGACTGAAACTGTCATTACACCTAAATGTTTCTGGGGGTGAAACCCAGAGAGAGAAGCGCATGCATTCCTGCTGATTCAGCCCAACTCGTGCTCTCCCTGTCTGCAGTGCCAGTTTAACCCCTGCTTCCCTGGAGTGAAGTGCGTGAACACCGCCCCAGGTTTCCGCTGCGACGCCTGTCCTCTGGGCTACATCGGCCTGCCAGTGGAGGGCGTGGGTATTGTGTTCGCTCAGACCAACAAACAGGTAACAGCATTTTATTTTTGATGTTGTGAAATTTTCATGTAGCTTTTGTTTGCCAAATTATTTACTTCAAAACTTTATTAAAACATCTTCTTGTTCCAAATATCTGAAATCGAAATCATCCCTCAGTATCAAATATGAAAAGGTGGTGCGCTAAAAGCACTTTTTATTTTGAAAAGTATTTAGCTACTGTTGCAAATTAGCATCAACCCACTTTTGATTTGAAAGCAGCAAAGTAAGTATCAAGATGAGTACCTTCATCGAAAACCCACCTTTCTCAGAGTTATCCATATCTACTGCCTCCTGGTGGATGTACTAGCTAGGATTGCGACAATATTACATGTAACTTGTACCAAGCTTTGTAACTTGTAACAGGTTTTGTAACTATAACTTTCATTTTGTAGCATGTAATTCCTGTTTTGTAACACGTGACTTTCATTTTCTAACACATAATTCTCATTTTGTAACATGTAACTTTTGTTACGTAACATGAAACTTTCATTTTATAACTTAAAGAACATTTTATGTACAAGTTTCAAATCACAACTTCAACACACATCTCAGGCTACAGTTACAAAACTTAAATCTACGTGTTACAAAACATTTTGTCCCAATTCTAGCTTCCTTTCCTAAAGAACCAATGAGAGACAAATTAAACTAAGGACTACCTAAGAACTTATATTTTGAACTAGAGCAGGTTGTTGTATCCAAGACACATGATTGGCTGATAAAACAAAGCCTGTAATTGGTTCTTTGGAAAAGGAAGCTAGAATTGGGACAAAATGTTTTTTGCACATTACTTTTGTTTCTGTAGACTGTAGACTGAGATATGTGTTTTGAGTAGTGATGCACCGATATGAATTTTATGTCCGATACCGATATCCGATATTGATTCCTCTGTTATGGCTAACAACCGATATTTGCCGATACTGATATACGAACATTAATGTTTCTAAAATCAGCAATTTTGTATAAAATTAAAATTATTAAAGCTGAATGTATATTATTATGTACACACACCACACACATTTACTCTTCTGACATGATTACAATCACTGTTCACATGACTAAACAAATACACATCACGCCCCTCACCCTCTGAAACAGATAAACAAATGGAGACAAGATGGAAAAAATATTGGTTGTTAATGTCGGCCCGGTTTTATTTATCAGACCGATACTGATATGTTAAAAAATGGCTAACATCGGCCGATACTGATATTGATGCCGATATATTGTCCGTCCCTAGTTTCGAGTGTTGTGATTTGAAACTTTTACATAGATTTATTTTTCTGCAAGTTACATACTGAAAGTGAAATATTTCAAAACAAAAATTACATTCTACTAAACACAAATTATGTGTTTGAAAAAGAATGTTATGTGTTTCAAAATGTGAATTGCATGTTAGAAAATTAAAGTTACAGTTTTAAAACATGTTACAAGTAACATGTAATATTGTCCCAGTCCTAGCTTCATAAGGATCTACAGGTGGCAAGGGCCAACTTTATTTTTTTATTGTGGTTTTGCTATAATATAATTGCATAAGATTATAGTGGTGTATTTGTTGCATACAAAATTCACATAAACAGTTCAGTTTTAAAAACAAAATGTATTTAAAATACTTATTTCATGTTTAAGTATTTAAAGGTTTCGGCTACTTTTCTTTTTTGTTTTCATCCAGCCTATTCTTTATATAGTTTTGTAAACTTTTCTGTCTCCTTGTATTCATTCATATTACATGAAAACATGAATTATATCCAACAGACATTATTCATGTTTCAATCTGCAACTAAACTACCTTTGCTTGTTTGCTCCAAGGATGAACTGATAAGAATTTCACGGTCAAATCTCAGACATTTAAGCAAACTTGTGACCTTACAGAGTCTACTTTGTGCTTACCGCACTGACGGAATAAAATGATAAAGCTGTGACCTTCTTTATTTAGTATATAAATGCAAAAATACATAGTTTTAAGGTTTTCAGACACAAATGTGGTATTCTGCATCTTTTATAGATATTTCATAAGTTTAATACAGTTTTATAACATATTTTGTTTTTAAGTTGCATTATAGCATGTTTAGTTGGTTGCTACAAACTTCAAAGCCATGCCATAATCACAGTTTTCTTTAATGACAAAGTAACCAATATGCAAACGCTGCAAGAGCTGTTTAAAATGTTCTAAATGACAGCTGACACACAAACATGGTGATTACAATTTGATGTGTTTGATTACTTTCTTATTCAGGTGTGTGATGATGTTGATGAGTGCAAAGGACCAGATAATGGAGGCTGTACTCAAAACTCACATTGTCACAACTCTGTGGTAAGACAGGCTCCAGCAGAAAATTTGACTGGTGTTGCTTTAGAAGGCCTTCAGAGCTGTCCTGTCTCCCCCACCAGGGCTCTTTTTACTGTGGCAGCTGTAAGACAGGTTTCACAGGAGATCAGGTGAAGGGCTGCGAGCCAGAGCTCAGCTGTGGAAACAGCCTGACTAACCCCTGTGATGTCAACGCCCAGTGTGTTCGAGAAAGAGATGGGTCAATCTCCTGCCAGGTGGGATTATAAGCCCTTCATATGACCTTCTGTGTGGCCTGCTCACACATCCGTGGGTCCGTGCACGCTCTCGGTAAGGTGTTTCATTTGTGTTGTAAGTGTGGAATTGGCTGGGCCGGTAACGGATACATGTGCGGGAAGGACACGGACATTGATGGATACCCAGATGAGAAACTCAAATGCAAAGACCCAAACTGTAAAAAGGTAAGTGAGGGGGATTTCACCAGATAGAGTGGAAGGGAGGACTTATAATTAATGGGCATGTCTCTGCAGGACAACTGCATTTATGTCCCCAACTCTGGTCAAGAGGACGTTGACAGGGACGGCCTGGGAGACACATGTGACGACGATGCAGATGGGGACGGCATTCCTAATGAGCAGGTTGTGGAAAAAGTTTTGCTGAAGAGCAATCACATTAATAATATATTTAATGTAAATTAGATGTGAGTGAGACCTGTCTCTGTTGAAGGACAACTGCTGGTTGAAGCCAAACGTGGACCAGAGGAACAGTGATAAAGACAGCCACGGCGATGCCTGTGACAACTGCCGCCTGGTGGAGAACCCCGACCAGAGGGACACGGACGAGGACGGCAAAGGCGACGCCTGTGATGATGACATGGATGGAGATGGTACGAACAGCAGTGATGTCACTGACACTGACGTTCTTGTTATATAACCACCATCACAGAGGACTTCACCAGCTCCCTGCTTTCATGTTTCCTCATAACAAATAAGACCAGAACCGTGTTGTTTCCCCCACATCGCTCTGAATCAGGCTCTGCACGCTTCAATGGCTTCATGTGGACGTGTAAGCAGGACAGAACTTCAAAATAATGAAAAAAAAGTCTAATCTAATAGCAGAGTGACCCAAGAGCAAGCGTGTGCTTTGATCATTCACCAGTAAGATTACACCTGAGAAATCTCCACAGGACAAGAGAAGAGCTTCTCCTCTATTGCTGCTTGACCTTTGTGTGTTTGTGGTGCAGCTACTGCCTCCATGTGATGAATAAAAACACCATTAGAACGCCAACCTCACAGGAAATGCAACAGTGGCCCCTAGTGGCCTAAAATCCACAGATAATCCCTGAATTCTCACATTTCAAAAGGAAACAGTTCATTTTAGGGTCAAACAGAGCAGAAAATACACCACACTCTTTAGAAAAAACAAGTTTGTGGTTCTGTTTTTTGGAAATGAAATGATATTAATTAAACACTCTGGGGTGATTGGTGGGCAGGTCTGGCAAACTTCCTGGACAACTGTCAACGTGTCCAAAACAGGGACCAGCTTGACCGCGATGGAGACGGAGTGGGAGACGCCTGTGACAGCTGTCCTGATATCCCCAACCCCAACCAGGTCACCCAGAGACAGATGGATAGCAAACTGATTACATTCCTCTGACAGCTGTGGTAGTTTTTAGTTTGCACCAACACACATTCAAATTATAAAATAAAGTAATTTCTTTATTTTTCCTCACTTTTTAAATGAATCTGAGCTTTTATAGCCCAAGAAACATAAAAAAATGCTTAAAGTTTTACACAAAAGTCACAAAGCAGCTGCATCAGTTAATAATATTATTTAAAGAAGGCATTTCCATTAAAACCTTCTATTTTCCTTCAGTCTGATGTTGATAACGACCTGGTTGGAGATTCTTGTGACACAAACCAAGACAGGTAAAACCCTTTGTCTCATTTTTACCTCTTTTTTTTTTTACTCACATGATTGTGTCACTTCCTCCCATAGCGATGGCGATGGTCACCAGGATACCAAGGACAACTGTCCATTCGTGATCAACAGCTCCCAGTTGGACTCTGACAAAGACGGGCTGGGAGACGAATGTGACGATGACGACGACAATGACGGGATCCCGGATCTCCTACCACCAGGACCGGACAACTGCAGGCTGGTGCCAAACCCTGAGCAGGTTGATGACAACAGTGAGTCAGAATCATTGACTATGGTAAAAAATAAAAGTAAAACACTAGTTTTGATCAGGATGAATGCATCTGAATGTCTACACTCTCCATGAACTTTAGCTGACTGACATTTAGATTCCTTTTTTGTGCTCCGGCTTTCTGCCCACGCAGATCAAGGACTGCCAGCCTTGAGTGAAAGCACTTCTTTTTTGTACTTGAATTCTTTGGCAGCTTCAAAAGTCACCGTGACATCGTTCTTTTCTTCTAAAATTCACTTAAAATGTTTCTGTTGGTGAGGTTCAGTAATGTACAACAGACTGGGAGTTTGAAGACAAATGAAGGGTTTTTGGGGGGTTGTTCTTTTTGAAAAGATCAAACCCTTTTGAGTTTAACCTTCATTGTCATGATCACAAAGCTACTATCCAAGCAACTCAGCTCTTTGATGTTCACCAGATGATGGTGTTGGAGACATTTGTGAGTCCGACTTTGACCAGGACAAAGTGATCGACAGGATCGACAACTGTCCCGAGAATGCTGAGATTACCCTGACTGACTTCAGGGCCTATCAGACGGTGGTCTTGGACCCTGAAGGCGATGCCCAGATTGACCCCAACTGGGTTGTCCTCAACCAGGTGAGAATATTGGCAGCTAAGACTCAGTGCAGCCTCCTAGTTACTTTTTTTTCTTGTAATTAGCTATTTGCTGCGTTTGCTGCTTTTCTCTACTCCTCTCTTTGGATTATTTTTAAATCTAGCATTTATTTACTTAATGCTCTAAAGACACTTACCCCTTCTTTCCACTGGATGTGAAACCTGTGTGTAATGTGATAGCGGTGTTTTACCAGCTAGCTTATTCGCAACTGGGAGCATTTCAGATGTGAAAAGGGAGCAAAAGCATTCCACACCGCTGGTTCCACAAAGTCACAAAATCACAAGAAAATCGCAACACCACACATGATTTCAGAAGTCCACACAATAACAAGCAAGGAGAAAGACAAAAAGGTCTGTGGTTTATTTTCTGTTCTTTTTACATCAGCTACAGGACTTTACCAGGAAATAACTTATGTTTATCTGCATGGGACTTTTATTTTGAAAGTTTATGGATGTTTTACATTGCTTTTATGTTCGTCTTCCTGTCTAGTCCAATATAAACTGTGGAGTTTGACGTGTTTTGGAAGCAGCTTGTAAAAATAGACTTGAAACATAATGATAGCATCCCTTCACTTATGGGATGCGTCCAAAACTTTATTCTCTGTTGCCGGTGGAAAGCTAATTGCTGCATAGTACGCATTATATTTCGTTGCTGTTTTGCAACCATTTTGGGACACTTCACATCGAATGGGAAGAAGGGGTCAGTTCAGCTTCTCAGCTACCAGCAGTTGATGATATTTCCTTCAAAAAGTCAAAAACAGAGATAATAAATGTGCAAGTGTAGAAGTATTTTTCATTTAGGGCCTTAGACACAATGCCGTTAAAAAGGCAGGTTTGCTGAGAAACTGTTTCTTTGAAGTACAGTTTTCACTCTGAGGTTCTCATGCAGGCTGAACATGAAAATTTCCTGCATTATCCACTGAAAGTAATGAACGGGAAATGCTTGGAATCGAAAAAGCCACACAGAACTGTCACACCAAAAATCACTCACCCATTTTGGCTCACAACAAGTAAGGCTGTTGTTCATTTTGGCTGCCAGAAGAGAGCAGTGGGTCTTGGCTAGTAGAAGCTAACCATTATCATTAGCGAGGCCATAATATGGCTGAACTTCAGGCTTGTGTTATTTGTGGAGATAAAACATCAATGTTGCAGAGCAAAAGGGGGCAGTGGAAGAGTCACATTGCTGTTAGCCCATCAGAAGCAAGTTGTCAGATCATGATTAATAATGAGTAAGACTCCAAATCCCGCCGTTTTCTGCTCTCCAGTCCTCCAGGTAACTTCTACTTCCTGAAACAGGTGCAACAGAGCTTTTTCAACAGAGGTCAAATCACAAGACATTCATAGTGAATGAGAGCTTTATGTTAGAGTTGAAAGCAAAAGAAACAACTTAAAACATCCCTAGAACCAGCTGCATGTAAAAACTCACAAAAATATCATTATCTCACTTTTGTTCCCAAACAGGGAATGGAAATTGTTCAGACCATGAATAGTGACCCGGGACTTGCTGTTGGTAGGAAGGACAGACCTTCTGAGTCAATAACATTTTGGTATTCTCCCCAAAACCCCATTTATAAAACACAATTTCCTGTTCTGATATACAGGCTACACTGCTTTCAGTGGAGTTGACTTTGAAGGAACTTTTCACGTAAACACAGTTACTGATGACGACTACGCTGGCTTCATCTTTGGGTACCAGGACTCGTCCTCCTTCTACGTAGTGATGTGGAAGCAGACCGAACAAACGTACTGGCAGGCAACGCCCTTCAGAGCTGTGGCAGAGCCCGGAATTCAGCTTAAGGTGATAACCAAAAAGTTGTGTTGCTAATACAAGCTGATCCCACTCCTATTACTTAAATGTTTTCTGCTTTGATGTTTGTCATCGTTTTGGCAAATGTCTCTCTGTTTTTTTGTTTTTGTTTTTTTACAGGCTGTAAAGTCTAAATCAGGTCCTGGAGAACACCTGAGAAATTCTCTGTGGCACACAGGTGACACTAATGACCAGGTTCGTCTGTTGTGGAAGGACCCCAGAAACGTTGGCTGGAAGGATAAGGTGTCCTACCGCTGGTACCTGCAGCACCGCCCACAGGTTGGATACATCAGGTAGGACAAATTGGTTTTTTGACAGCTACTTCTACCATCTCACCTTTTTGGTGTCAGAGAGATATTCTTGTTACAGCATATAAGAAATACAGTTTTCAGTATACAGTGTACCTAAATTCAGCATGAGCATGAAGGTCAGTATCAATGTTCTGGGATCATCATCCTGATGGAACAGAGTATCAAGCTGTTGCTTTGTGCAATGCACCTGTATCAGATCATGATGCTACCACCACCATGCTTGACAGCACCACCTACTAAAAAATTTTGATGTGTGTATAATGTTAACCCTGAATGGGAGAGAGAACGTTCACAATCAGGGGCGTCGGACTGGGGGGGGGGGGAAGGGTACCGTTTACCCAGGGCCCACTGCAGGGAGGGGCCCTGAGACAGCTTTGAATAACAATGTTTTATTTTGTTGTTTTTTCCCCCCAACTTACTTAATGTCTTAATAAACTTCCCTTTACCTGGATAAAGAGGTTAAGAAACAGAATTTCGCCCTAAAAATAATAACTGAATAATCTCTGAGGCATCTATCACCCCTTAAAAATGTGCAAAGTGGTTTAGTCCACACCAGCGGCCAGGAGCTGCACGGCCGCATGTACAGCTATGAGACTTCGCAGATGCCGACAGCCAGAGCTGGAGGCAGGAGAGTCAGTCATGTCTTTTCCCAAGAAAGGGAAATCTGGCTTCCAGAAAAGAAAAGAAAAGAAGGAGAAGGAGAAAAAGTTAATAGAACAGAAGCAAGTACGGACTAGGTTTTTCAAGGAAGGTGAGCAGCAGCCAGCAGCAGCAGAACACAGTTTTAGCTGATATTAGCTAGCTCTCAGAAGCTGCATTCATGTTAGGTGTTCAGTGTTAAACGCCTTTAGTTTCACCATCAAGATCAAATATAAATTAATTAGTGTTATCAGTGATAACACTAATTAATTTATATATATTAATCAGAATTATTATCGCGGGCGGCTGCCGCCAATTAATTTGCAGACCTCGCAGTAAAAACAGGTTCACTCTGTGTGGACATTTCAGCTCCTTCCCAGTCATGGACCAGGACAAACTTGGTATCGATGGATTCGTGGTAATCTCAGGAATGAGAAGCTGCCACTGTTTTTCGTATAGCATGATGACACTGGTGTTAGAGGATTGTTATTGACTTGGTTAGATATTTTAAGGCTATTTTAAATTTCTTTATATTTGATCTTGAAAACGGACAATCTTACAATTTGGCTGATAATGCAGGGATTATAAAATTTAGAGTACATTACATTCACAGAGAGAACCTGGTTTATTTCATGTCATATGTATTTAATCTTTCCTTATTGTACTAATATATATCATATACCATCTACAGGATGCAATTACAGAGCATTTTTGGAGAAGTTTGTATTGGACTGAGGAAATTTTGCACACTACCTGTGACTGTTGCTGGGGGTGAACGGGCTTTTAGCAAACTGAAACTGGTGAAAAATTATTTGAGATCAACAATGTCCCAGGATAGACTGAATAGCCTAGCTCTTCTTTCTATTCAAAGCCAATTAGCCAAAGGATTGGACTTTAAAGATCTCATAAGTGATTTTGCTAACATGAAGACCCGTCAGTGGGCATTTACTGGAAAATAAATTCCAGGATTTTTGTTTGAACACATTGTTGGCAAATAAAAATTATTACATGTGAAGTCCAGGCATTTCACTTTTATTATGCTGGCATTTGTATTTGCTCAATATAGAGGTTAAACTAAGATCATATTTATTATCTTGTCTTATAGCATGACAAAAAATGTGTAAGAGAGATATTAAACAATTGAGCATGGGGGCCCACCTAGAAGACTTGTACCTAGGGCCCAGAATTTGGTGCTACACCCCTGTTCACAATACATGTAAACTTGTGCAACTAAAGCCGGGACCTCACAGCAGGGTAATAAATGCCAATTTTTGACAAGCTCTTCCAACAATATTAAAGAAGTGCATGATTATTGTAATGGTTCTAAAGATAATCTTACAAAACCTCTCCTTGTGTGGTGTGTTAAATCAGAAATCTGGAGTTATGTTTATGCATTATCCGACGCCAATCTCCAAAGTGCCACACCTCCACACCTTCGCCTGGTCCTGACAGCGCCACCTCCCCGTCTCCGGTGGGCTGTTACTCCTCTTCTCCTTCCGTTTCAGCCGACACCATCGTGGCACCTCCGATGGCCCGAGCTTACACACCTCCACCTGTTCCAGACAGCGCTGCTGCATCCTCTCCGGTGGGCTGTCATTCCTCGTCATCCTCAGTTCCTGCCGACGTCACCCCCGCACCTCCGAGGAGCCGTGCTCGTCGCAGACGTCACCGCCATCACCCACAGTCATCTACAGCCAGAGTTGTGCCGCCTGACCAAGAGGCCCCTGCTCTGCAGCCCGACCCAGAACACCTGAACCCGTCCGAAGCCAGAGTTGTGCCGCCTATTCCAGAGGCCCCTGCTCTGCAACCCAGGACTGAGCTCCATCTGCCATCTCCACACCCTGTTCTGGCGGTGAATCCAGTAGTCGCTCCGCCCAGTCTGGTCCAGCCTGTTCAAGAGGCTCTGGTCCAGCCAGGCTACAAGGCTCTGGTCCAGCCCGTCCACGAGGCTCCGCTCCAGCCTGTCCACGAGGCTCCGCTCCAGCCAGTCCAAGAGGCTCCACTCCCAGCCCAGCTGGTCCAAGAGGCTCCGCCTAGTCCGGTGGCTCCAGTCCAGAAGTCGATGCCTCCAGTCCAGAAGTCGACGCCTCCAGTCCAAGGGTCGACGCCTCCAGAGTCTATGTCTCCTGAGCCGCCACCGGCAGAGTATGTGTCCCCAGTGTCCCTGTCTCCAGTGCCCCATTTGTCCCAACCTCCTGAGTCCCCAGAATCACATGTGTCCCAGCCTCCTGAGTCCCCAGAGTCACATGTGTCCCAGCCTCCTGAGTCCCCAGAGTCACATGTTCCTCCGTTACCTGAGTCCTTTCCTCGTCCTCCTTTTGAGTCCCCTCTTCGTCTTCCTCCACCTAAACCCCAGACCCCTGGATTTCCCAGCTCCTGGTTCCCCGTCGCCGGCCCCCCAGAGTTCCCTGTTCCCGGCTCCTATTTTTGCACATTTTAAATATATTTTTAAACATTTTCTAAATGCTTTTTATATCTTTACATTTTTTGTTTTTGTGAAGCGCCTCGTGACTTTTATCTAGAGAGGTGCTGTAGAAATGATATTTTCTTCTTCTTTTTCCCCGGACTCCTCTGGTCTCTGGTCCCCTTGTTTTTGTTTGTCTGTTGTCTTGTTGGCGTCTGGTATCCGTCCCTTTGGGGGGGGGGGGGTATTGTCATGGTCTGCGTCTGCATCTCCCCTCATGTGTCTCCTTGTGTTATCCATCCCTCTCTAGGTTCTCCCTTTGTGTCCCCTAGCGCCCTCATGTGCCCTTGTCTGCGTCTCATTTATGTGTCTCTTTGTGTTTTTCATGTGTCTCCTGTTTGCAGCCCTCCAGATCTTTCCTCCCAGATCCTGTGTCCCTTCACGTTCTTTGCCCTTTAGCTCCAGCCCTTTTTGTCCCCAGCACCCTCCTGGTTTTCTTCATGTTCTCTTAGTCTCCCCACCATAGTTTCTATGGGTCTATTATTTCAGTTTTGTGTGTGTGTGTGTGTGTGTGTGTGTGTGTGTGTGTGTGTGTGTGTGTGTGTGTGTGTGTGTGTGTGTCCTTCCCCAGCTAGGAGTGTGTGTATGCGTGTGCGTGTGCGTGTGTGTGTGTGTGTGTGTGTCCTTCCCCAGTCAGGTCTGGTGTCCTCCCCTGCTCCTTTCTGCTCCTCCTCTCGGTTATTGTTTTCACCTGTGCCAGTTCTCCACACACCTGCTCCTCGTCTCCTATCACTCCAGCCCCAGTGTATAAAATCCTGTCCTTGTCTCAATGTTGTGTCGATCCATTGATGTTTTGTTCTGTCAGTCTCGTCTCGCTTTGGATCTCTAGTGTTATTAGTTTCTCTTGAGTCTAGTGTTTTTGGATCTCCAGATCATCATCTGGATTTTTGGTTTTTGGCTTCCTGCCCCTTTGGATTAATTTTGGTTCATCCTAAATAAAGGATTTTCTTTATTTTCACTCCTGCCTCGTGTCATCCTGGGTATCTGCATTTTGGGTCCTAACTACCTCCTTGCTCGCATCGTGACATTAGGGTTTACAAAAAGGCTAAATCAGCCAAAAAGAGAAATTACATCCATGCCAATGACGTGTGTGTATGTGTAGAATGGTAAACTGAGTTGCTTGATTAAAATGAGCCAAATTTATCATCCAACAATTAAAAATCTTGAAGAGAAGTTAACATTTCTCCTATTTTTTGTTTAGAGTTCGTTTTTATGAAGGAAGTGAACTGGTTGCAGACTCTGGTGTCACCATTGACACCACAATGAGAGGAGGACGACTTGGTGTCTTCTGTTTCTCCCAAGAAAACATCATCTGGTCCAATCTGAAATATCGCTGCAATGGTAAAACAAAAACATTATTTTTTAGGTTTTCATGTAGTAAAACACATCTGCTCTCTTTATTTCCAAATGTCTTCATAATTTTTAAACCAGAACTCTCCTCTCTGATTTCCACATATTGTTCTCTCTGACTTCTGCTTTCTGAGCCTGAAATAATAATTTGTCTTATATTGTAATATTATTGTGGGTCCGCTATGGACAGAAGTCTTGTCCTTGTCAGAACCTTCCAATAACCACCAGACACTAGTGTACAAATAGTGATTCTTTATTTGAAGGCACACAATTGTCATGCTGCAACAAGCACCAATAAAACCTATCCCTCCCCGCTAAAACACCCCCATATAAAATAAGCAGCACACTTATCTAGTCAGTCCGTTACGACCCTCTCCCAGGGTCAAAGCTCCAGCGCCGTCCAATGTCGTTGGCGGCGGTTGAAGCCTCCGGCCTGGTGATAGCCAGACGGTAAACGTTTGGGGAATCGTCGCTGCTGGCCACGGCGCCCTCTATGTCCCGGCCCTGGCTAACTACAGGAGGCGGAACGCCTCTCCTCTCGCTGGCTGTCTTTGCCGCCGGCAGCCCTAAACAGCTGCGATCGGCACCCACGCCCCGTCACCAGGGCTCCGCGTCCGCTCAGGCAGTCCGACTGTTCTCCCAACCACGAGCCTTCCCCTCTCCAGTCTCTTTATTTCTTCCCGTGTCCTCATCAGTGCGCTAATACGTCCCACCTGGCCCTCGAAGGTTAACTCCGCCCTCTTCACACCACAATATTGTTTTGAAGAGTGCAGCTGGGAAAGGAATAAGTTTGACCTGAGTTAGGATTTCTGCTGCTCTTGTAAAACCCTCATCTTCCCATTTTCCTTTTCAGACACCATCCCAGAGGATTTCCAGGAGTTCAGCGCTCAACATGCCGTTGACTCAATCTGAAGACAGGAGTGATGTGGGACATCGAACCTATAAAGATTACACCATTGTGTGTGTGTGTGTGTGTGTGTGTGTGTGTGTGTGTGTGTGTGTGTGTGTGTGTGTGTGTGTGTGTGTGTGTGTGCACTTGTCTATATGTTTAAGTGGACAAATTTGAACTTTAACCTGTAACATGTGGACATTTCCACAACGTGGGGACATTCTGCTGGTCCACACAATGCTAAACAGCCTAAAATTTTGTTTTGTTTTGTGTGTATTAACTTTTAGTTTAGGTTAGGGTTAGGAATAGTACCCCATTGGTTAGGGTTAGGTGTGGGTTAGGCATAGCGGAGTCAGTAAAATGAATGGAAGTTAATGATGGTCCACACTAGCATAGGTGTGTGTGTGTGTGTGTGTGTGTGTGTGTGTGTGTGTGTGTGTGTGTGTGTGTCTGCATTTACATTGAATATGACTACAACTCTATGATTTCACATTTTAATCAGTGTTCATCTTTTTAAAGAGATTTTAAAATAAACAGCTGAGCTAAATAAATTATAAAGGTCAAAATCAAACACAAAATCTAAATAAAACACAGCTAAATTTATAAAGATGCAGTGAAATGAAAATATAAATGAGGTGTATGGTATCTTAACATACTTTGTTTTTTGTAGATGAAATAAGTAATCTGTAAATACCCAGATAACAGAAGCACGTTTGTTTTCCTCTCCAGCAAACCTACAAGCATTTTTTACATTATAGACCAGTTTCTTTCAGCCTCTTCACTCAAAATCCAACAAATTAAGTTGAAAATATAGTAAATTCATGCCGGTGTCACTGAGCTGCCCTCGTTTTTATTGTGCTGCCTACATGCTGCCAGAGCATTTGTTATTAAGGGACAAAAAGCATTTTGTGGGCTGTTCTTTATGAAGAAAAATGTTGTTTTTCCTCAAAATTCAATTCCTAATAAAATGTCTTGTATTAAATAAGTTTACTTTCTTTCTGAGTTTGCCCCAAAAAAATAAATAAAAAGTAAGAAAACTCTGTTGTAGCTTTTTTGTTGAAGTTTCTTTTTTGAAATAGTGACAACATTTTCTTCACAGGTATGCGATTATAAATGTTTCCTAGAAGTTGAGCAATCAGCACTATTTCTCCATGTTGCTGGTGCTGCTGAATTCTCTTTTTCATGGAAGTCAAAGTTAAAGTTCCATTAGTCATCACACACTCAATCAATCAATCAATAAAACTTTGTTTATATAGCACTTAATCATGCAACACATGCAACTCAAAGTGCTTAACAAATTAAAAAAGCCCCCCCCCCCCCCCCCCCCCCACACACACACACACACACACACACCCATGGAAAAAAACACGATCAGGGGAGCCATCAGCCCCGAAAGCAGCAGATCCACAGCAGCAGCTGAGGCACTGTCACAGGGTGCCCAGGGCAGGGAGGGCAGAGACCCCCACCTCCACCCAGGCGCACCAGGAAAGCACCCAGGCCACCGCAGCCGACCACTGGCCCCGGAGCAGAGGGCACCCACAGAGGAAACACTGGGAAAAGGTTAAATTAAGGTTAAAATATAAAATCATAAGAGCTAAAATGAGAATTGTAATTAAAAAGTTATAGATGTTAAAATAATGTTGATCATAAATCTTTGGTATAAAAAACTGTTTAAAAATAGCACGTATAAAGACACTGGTGAAATTACATCTACGCATCTGACCCAGTGGGGAGCGGTGAGCTGCAGCGGTGACTAATTCATGCTTCTGCGTCTGCGTCAGTGCGGAGACACGCAGTGCCATTATCCGTCTTTGCGAGCCTGCTGGAGAGCCCTCACAAGGACGGACGGAGTCAAGCTCTCTTTTCTAAACATACGTCCGTCGAGACAGGGAATGCAAGCTTGTGATTGGCCAGGGTACCGCTGTCGTCTACACTGCTGCCATTGTGCCCTCAAAAACGTAAAGAGAGCCGAGGATAACTAGGGGCAGACACGGAGAAGCTTGAAGAATACCTCGCGAAAAAACTCTAAAAATATGAACGTTTATTTCCCCCGTGACTGGAGGAGTGAAAAGATGTGCAGCAAGTGTTTTATTTGTACATGGAAATTACAGAAAACGTGGGTTTAGAGGTGGCAAGTGTTTGAAGAGGTGGAGGAGAATGAGAGACAAATTTGTCTGTGTTCAAAAAGTCTCTTATATGCAAAAACCACAATATAAACACACTATCTTGGACCGGATGCATGACAAGATACCATAGAACAGCGCTACGCCCTCTGTTGTCCTGGCGGGGAATTGCTTTGCAACACTCCCCAGCAGATGGAGAAGTAAGAGGGCAAAATGTTTCTGTCCATGCGTGCAAGTCTCTCCCTTTTGGAGCTGACAGAGAAGTATAAATCCAGCTTTAGTGGTTTAGCCCCCAATCCAACTCCTTAAAGCTGAGTATCAAGCATGGAGGCTTTGGGTCCCATTGTTAGTCTTTGGTATGACCCAACTGGGAATCGAGCCCCGAACTCCCAGTCTCAGGGCAGACACTCTACCACTAGGCCACAGAGAGGGCGTGTTTCATAATGTCCCTGAATATGTTTGAGTGAAGAAGAGATCATGTTGAAATGAGTACTTTTAATTTCAGCTCCTCTAAATCTGAGACCATGAAAAGGGGAGAATGCCTTCTGCTGGTCAGGGCTGAGGTCCTCCCCGAAGTGGAGGAGTTCAAGTATCTCGGGTCTTGTTCATGAGTGAGTGAGGGAAAGATGGAGCGCGAGCTTCTCAAGCGAATTGGTGCTGCGTTTGCAATGATACGGGGTTGTACCAATCTGTCGTGGTGAAGAGAGAGCTGAGCCTGAAGGCAAAGCTCTCGATTTACCGGTCAGTCTACGTCTCAACCCTCACCTATTGTCACAAGCTTTAGGTAGTGACTGAAAGAATCAGATTGCGGTGTAACGTCACAAATGGTCAATTTTCACCTATATACTGATCAACATAATAGCCTTTCATCTACAGCATAAATCCATTTTCTATTTGGCCTTCTAACTCCAGAAGGTTCTGGTCAGCGCGTGCTGACATTCCATGAAGACAAAACATTCAAATAGACACTCTCTCCCAAGGTCCTACACTCTCTGCTTGGAAGGCAAACGCCATTCTGACTCCATGATTTTACAATTATAAGTTAAATAATCATGTGATGAATGAACAAGATGTTTAAATCAAATGTTTGAATAATCTGTGCTTAAATCAATGAATTTAATAAGAATATTGTTCTTACAATGATCAGTATGTGTTTGATTTAACAAGTTAATCATTGTTTACACTCATACACACTACAATAGTTACATGTTAAGGTTAAAATGCACCTCACATAGGAGTTTTAAGACATTCTCATTCAGGGTTAAAAGCATCTTTGTATCTGAAGGAAGGCGAGAGATGTTGGTAAATGCTCAGAAACGTGTCAAATTCTGCTTGGCCAGAACTCATAACATTGCGGGTAAATAAAACAGGATTTACTTCCCGATTTATTCAGTTTCTCGATGACCCTCGAACTGGCCAATTCGTGAAAGAAGCATTTTTGAAACCATCTTCTCCTTTGACCTCCTGTCAAAGCCTGTCTGCAACGCTGCGGCTGATACCAGACAACCGGCTCTTCTAAGAGCCAAGCAAACATCAACCTTAGATGCAAATAAGCATTCCAGCTTTCGGCCTTCACCTCGAGGGATCTCAGACTGGACGGGTCCTATGGGATCTATGGGTTCCTGACATCAGAGTTTCACTCCACCGGCAGTGACCATCGACCCCCCGGATCGAACGAGAACCTCCACACCAAGGGCACGTAGACTTGGCACGACAGATTGCGTCTGATGCTGCTTTTAGATAACCAACTCTAGTTATAACCAAACAACAAATTATTTTACACCCAGATTTCACAATTTCTCTCAGATACAAAGAACGGTTGCTACAACATCTAGCTTCCATCACAACACCTCACATCCACCACTTCACATCTCATTATTCATATCTTGTCATGTATAAATTGTTAGTTTAGGAAAAAGAATTAAATTCATTTTGTAAACTATATACCTGACTGTCTTAATTAATACGAAGTGTGTTTATGGTCCCTAAAGAAGTAAAGAACCCTAGAATCTTCTGATTAAACATTCAAAGATCAATCAGATTGATATTTCATATTTATATGGAATCATTACATCTTCCATCCATCCATCTTCTGAACCCGCTTAGTCCACGTAGGGTCGCGGGGGGGCTGGTGCCTATCTCCAGCAGTCAGCGGGCAAGTAGGCAGGGTACACCCTGGACAGAGAGCCAGTCCATCGCAGATCATCAGATCTCAGTATATGCGTTAGCTCGCTAACACGTATACTAAAATTGGAACGATACAGAGAAGATTAGCATGGCATCATTACATCTTATTGGTCATAATTAATACGGTATGTTTTAATTGCTACAGCGGATACAAGCGGCCTAAATGAATTTTCTCCGCTGGGTGTCTGGAAGATAGGGTGAAAAGCTTGGTCATTCGTGAGAGACTCGGAGTAGACCTGCTTACTCCTCCAAATTGAGTGGAGCCAGTTGAGGTGGCTCGGGCATCTAGTTAGGATGCCTCCTGCACGCCTCCCTGGTGAGGTTTTCCGGGCACGTCCAACCAGAAGAATGCCTAAAGGAAGACCCAGAACACGCTGGAGAGACTATGTCTCTCGGCTGGCCAGGGAACGCCATTGGATTTCCCCGGAGGGGCTGGCCCAAATGTCTGGGGAGAGGGAAGTCTGGGCCTCCCTGCATGGGCTACGATCTCTGCAACCCAAACCCGGATAAGCGGCTGAAAATAGATGGATAGATGGATGTAAGTTCCTGATGATCAGTGATGGTTCTAGTTGGGGTCCAGAGTGGGCCAATTCCACAGAGTTGGACAGGTTGGACCCCCTGTGCCCCCTCCATCCTGAGGGCAGAGCCTAAGCATTAATAGGTGATGATTTTAAAATATATAAATTTAGCTTAATGTGAGATGTGGCACCAAAGCATGTGAATACATTTATCAGATAAATAACTCTGATTATGCTTTATATATATATATATATATATATATATATATATATATATATATATATATATATTTTTTTTTTTTTTCTTTTTTTTTTTTTTTTTTTTTTGCTAAATGCTTACACTGGAAATTTGTTTAAAAATGTTGTATTTAGAAACGGCACTTAATATACTTTTGTAATTATTACTCACTAAAGTTGAAAATAATTAAAGGCTAACTAGGCAGTTTTGGCTTGCTTTTAGCACCCCCTAGTGTCCGCTTGTAGAATCAAAAGCATCTCCTTGCTGTGCGTTTGTCTTTTTAACCCCTCAATCTCTCTAGCCTTCTTTACCCCAAAATTCCACTACCTCCGCTCTGCCCCCGCCTTCCGCAGCCGCTCGCTTCCGAACTCAATTTTTACTGGTACCCACTCTACAACGGCTCCGCTCCGGTGCGGAGACCTGAGGTACGCAGACAGGCATGCGCGGGATTTTCGAGATCTTGATATACAGTCCGAGCAATAAATGCGGAAGTTAGATCCAAACACCCGTTGTGTGGGAGAAGCATCGAAATGAACTGTTTAATCTGCCCATCATTTGTGTTGAGAGATCAGCAGTGTTTGGATCAACAAAATGTGACTACTTTGATAGTGGAAACTGTATTTATGGCTTATTTTTGTGCATTTAAAGTTCAGCCGCCATTGATAGTTGTTAAACATTGTTAAACATGTGCATATGAAACAAAAAACTCCTTTTGTTTATCGATTTATTGTGAAATAATGGAAGTTGTGCTTGCTCCCTTTCCTGTTGGGTGGTTGTGATTTCTGTCCATTGACTGTGGAGGTGCTGCGGCATCCGGCAAAAATAGAATCAATCCTATTTTTGCCGGATGGCGGAACGGCGGGCGGCGCACTGCGCCGCACGGCCGCAGTAGTGGAACAGCTCTGATTGACTACAACGGGACCGATTTTGCTGCGTAGTTCGTGCCGGAGCGGAGCGCAGCGGAGCGGAGGTAGTGGAATTTTGGGGTTAGTGTCTAAAGGAGTGGTTCATCACTAAATTAAACAAATCAGCTGTGTTCATGATCTAAAACATGTAGGGAACGTGCTGGAAGCAGACTGCAGCGCCAGGTACAACAGAGAAGCCCGCCAGTCTGAAGTTGCAAGTGGAATATTCTGGCCACAGGGGACGATAGGGGCTGGGTGACCTTTCATTAACCCAGTAAAGGGTAATTTTAGCACATACTGGTTCAAGAAAATGATTTAAAATTATGAAAAATGTGCACAGTATGGCTTAAAAGTCAACGTTTATAATATTTTCTTACAAAATAGCCGGCTGCATGGCCCCCCTCTAATGTTATGCCTACTGCACACTAGAAGAAACAGCGGCGCGGAACGGCAGTGGAAGGTTTTACTCGCGACTATCGCTGCGTTCAAGTGCACACCGAGAGTCTCAGCATCGAAGCGGCTTCTCTGCCGTGCTCCTCTCGCGAGATCACAAGATCCCTCAAGACTTCAAAGAATACGGTTTGTTTATGCAATCCACCATTAAACCAAAAGAAGGAAATCAGTTTGATATCACTGTTTTTTGTCCTATTTGATGTTCCTCACCACTGCCAGAATTAAAGCCATGAAAAACACACCGCTGCAGTTCTGAAACGATGCTGTGAGTAAATAAGCCGCTGGGTCACAGCTTCATATATGAAATTGCATCGCTGCAGTACTTTTATTTAGACATTTACCTGTGATTTTTCACTGAAACAGTGTGTGATTTCCTGTCTAGCCCTATGTTATCTTCGGACGCATCCCAGAAGTGGATTGCGGCAAAAATAGAACCCGATCCTGTCTTTAGTGACGCGGCGCGGTGTGCTGAAAATTGCCGCGTCATGGCTGGTTTGTTACACTCCACAGACTATAGTAGATTCTATTTGAAGCTGTTCGACACCGCTTTTGCTTCCAGTGTGTAGTAGGGGTCTAGATCCTCCCCTGCTGATGATGTCACAAACATTTTACTTTTTAAAATTTAAACTGGAGTAAATTACACAGAAATGTGTCGTCTATTTGAAATGACTGAAGTATGTGACCCAGCAAAGTGAAGCAAATCTCATTTATTTCCACAAAAATGTGACCACTCACTACAGTCCCTTCCAAGTACCTCTCCTTTTTCTCAGAAGAAACAAAGGCTTTTGGTTTTGCTTTCTCAGGAAATCCTTTTTAAAAAAAGAAAAAAAAGAACATAAGCTGCTTTAAAAAGAGACTTTGATCTCCAGGCAGGAGTTCAGCAGCAGAGGGACAAGAATGAGAACAGAATCGAGCAGATTTTAAATCTCAGCAGGTGACTGAACAACCTGGTATTTGCGTCTTTCACAGAAAGGTAAGAAAAGTGTTTTGTTGTTTCTGCAGGGGAAAAAACACTGATATACATAAGCGTGAAGATATTTTAGCTAATTTCTTCATGCTTTAGTCAAATTAAATTTTAGTCTAAGTGATTTAAAAGACAAACGACATTTGTCTTTTAAACCTGGATCATTACTAACTTTAGATCTGAAACCAGATCTTTACCAGATGTCAAATTAAACTTCATTTTACTTGTAGATTTATTTTTGTATCAAAGGCACATTGAAGCAGAGTCCTGGTACAAATTTATTAAACATAAACATAGATTTATGTTTCATAACACTTTAAAAGTCAACGGCTGAAATCACAGAATTAACAGAACGGCTGAATCTAGCTTCTTTGTTTCTGGAAAATTTTATTTCATAAAATGCTTTAAAGATCATTAACTTAATTCAAATGCGGATTGTGATAAAAACGGTCAGAAAAGCATCTTTTCATGACAGAAAATGTCCAGTCATTTTCTTAACATTTTAAAGGTTTTCAGTGCAGATTTAGGGTTGGTAATTTCTATAATTATATCCCAGAACAAAAAGGTTTCTAGAGGTGATAGATCAAGAGGTTTCCTGCTTCCATGAGCAACACAAACACATTGGAGCTTTCATGTAGAGAGCTGTGACTCCGGATGGGACAGAAATAAGCTCATTGGGATATTCCCTTTGATCGCTCTTTCATAATGAACATAAATCCATGAACACAAACTGCTGAACAAAACAAAATCATCTTGTGCAGAGATGTGCAGAGGTTTAGATTTCAGATCAGCCTCAGCAATGTGACTCATTTCCACCTCGGGAAGCAAAAACGAATCAGGTTCAGGCTGATTCAATGTGTGTGCAGGGAGGAGTTGTCGTGTCTGCAAACTGTGAGATGCAGGAGGCTCAGAGGGTTTCGTAACAACTGGGTAAAAGTAAAAATAACTTTATTTATTGGTACAAATTTTTTGAATATCACACAGAAAATGTGACTTTTTCATACTGTTGCTAATGTCTATTTAGCACTTTGGTCACCTCCCATGCTGTTTAAAAAATGTGCTATATTCATACATTTGTAATAGAACGGAATGTCAATCAAATGCATAAGCAATTATATGCTTTTGGAGACCAATTTGGTTATGCGAGCAAACTTCAAAACCTAAGTGATTGTTTTACTTTCTGCCATCTCTGACTCTTCAAGTGTTGTTAGCACAATCACTGGCTCAAGCGATTTGTTTCCTCTAAAAAAATAACAGACAAGTAATTATGATTAATGCAAAATGTGAAGCTGCAGTGTTCAAAACTAAATGAGTATTGTGGGCGACGGTGGCACAGGAGTTAATTGCTTGCCCCGTAATCGGAAGGTTGCAGGTTCGAGCCCCACTCAGTCTGTTGTTGTGTTCTTGGGCAAGACACTTAACCCACGTTGCCTGCTGGTAGTGCTCAGAGGGACCGGTGGCGCCTGTGCTCGGCAGCCTTGCCTCGGTCAGTGCGCCCCAAAGCAGCTGTGGCTACATTGTAGCTCATCCCCACCAGTGTGTGAATGGGTGAATGACTGATTGTGTTGTAAAGTGCCTTGGGGTGTTCCAGGACTCTAGAAGGCGCCATGTCAAATACAGGTCATTTACCATTTTACCATATTCACATGTTTAACTGAATTTAATTACACTTCAACAATGATTTCTGTACCCTGTAACATGGTAATAAAACTGAATGAACTATAAGTAAACAGAATCAATAGAAACCAGAATATTTCATGTAAAGATGAAAGTAGGTCATGAAGCAACACGATAAACTAAAAGCACCAAAGAGAAACATGGTTGCAAAGTAGCAAATGGATGTGAGCCCCTCTATGGGTAGTCTGTCTTAAAGAAAAGGCTTAACTTGGTAAATGGCCTGTATTTTATATAGCACCTTCTAGAGTCCTGGAACCAAGGCGCCTTACAACACAATCAGTCCTTCACCCATTCACGCGCTGGTGGGGATGAGCTACGATGTAGCCACAGCTGCCCCGGTCCATCCAACCACCACCAGTAGGCAAGGTAGGTTAACTCATTCAATGCCATTGATGACAAAAGTCGTCGTTTTTAATCCAACCGTTCATATTTGCCTTTTTTTACTGTGTTGGCATCGGAACAAGCCCCCGCACAGTGAGAACAAAGCCCTAAAGCCGGCACTTCACGTGACCAGGAAGCAGAAAACCCATGTATTAGGAGATCGTTTTGGGCCGCTGCTGTAAAAAAGTGAGGTGCGAACCGGAAAAGCTTCTGCCGATCACAATTCGCAACGGATTGTGAAAGAACAGATAACACTCGAAACATGCAGATTCTTCCTGATGTAAGAGGTGAGTCTCTTTGTTTTGTTAGTTTTGGCGTTGACATAATCCTAGAGCACAACTTTCTGTGACTCTTAAAAAAACAGTAAAAACGCTGAAAAATGCTGGCAGCATGCTGGCATGGCCCCCAAATGCTTTGATATGGCCCTGGGTGGGGCGGAGTTTTGAATAGTTTGGAATATATGAATATTATGAGCTTATAAATAATATTTGTTTTATAATGTTAAAACATGTAGTGGATAAATGTACCTACATTTTCATTTCCAAGCTCTTTGTTTTTGTTTTCTTATTATTTAACTATTATCGTGTCCTGTCTGTCTCTGGTCCTGCATCTGCCGCAGGGAGATGCAGGACCTAGTTCTCCAGAAAAAACGCTGCCTGGCCGCGGAGCACGGGTGATGAGCGCAGCAGCGATGCGCGTCAGCCTCGAACAAAAGACAGAAAGTACCATAGCAGTTATGAACGATCGTGTGTTAACTATATTTTGGTGACGCTGCTTTGAGAATTTTGCTGTGGCCGTGCCATCGAGATAAATATTGGACAATGGGTTTCCATAGACTCCAATAACACATTTTTGAAGATAAATGGGAGGTGGCCACCACCGCCATTTTCACCGTGTCAAAGGTTCGATCAAGCCCAGACAATTCCACAAAAGGGAAGAGAGGTGGAGCTGAGTGTGGGGCTATAAGGCTGGGATCAACTGACGACACCCGGTTGAACTAGCTACAAGCTAATGTAACGTGAGGAAATATGGGTTTTCTGGCACAATGGTGGTGCTGGACTCAGCTGGGTCAAAGCTGGATCATTGAGAACTTTCACCCACAGATTAAGACCTGAACGCCAGCGAGTCTGGGAGGAAACCATAACATCAGCCACCTGCAGTCTACCAGAAGACGTGTTTCCATGAGTTGTACCCAGACCAAGTCAAAACATAAAGTTTAAACTTCTTTTTCTTGATTTTAATGTTAAAGTAACCATTATCATTTTGCTCATTATAAATGTGTTTAATCAAATGAATGACTATTATGCTTTGGGGTAATTATAATGGCTTAATGAATCCATTCTTAAATAGTGTTGAGAATGTTTGTTACTGACCTTCACACACTCAAGCACACAAACATTCACACACACCCACACACATCTTCCCACAGTAAACTCCAGACACATTTGATGACGCACACGTTTGCTTTGAGAAGAGAAAGGTTTTTGGTAAGTTTCAGTCTTATGATTGCAGTTCGGGCTTGACAACGAAAGAGAGAGAACCAAAGGGGGGGCAGAGCCGGCTGGCTCGTTTCTCCCCCCTTACACGCTGTTCCTGCCAAGCCAGGCAGAATAGCTGAATCGCGACTTCTAACGCAGACTCATTACCGAGTCTTTTGATTTCTGAGTGAATTAACTTAAGAAAGCGCGTCGACAAAAGGCTTTACCATCAACGTGTACCGAGGGCAACTCTGGACCGGTTCCGTTCGACACCTACGTCTCCTGTCAGCCGCCGGTGTCATCTGGATGAACCACAACATCCTCCACGGCCTGGATCCGAAAGAGGGTCCACAAGAGTTCGGTGAGACAGCACGGTGTTTAGCGTTTTGATGCATCTTTTCCAACTAAACCTAAGTTTATTCAAACCATCACTTTTCACTCAGACACCTGTTTCTTCCTGAAGCAAAATCAGATGCACACACGCATCCATCTCACATCATATCACTCTCACAACTCACAACATTCTCAATCTTCATAAATTCACCAGAAGGTCTATTTGAGCAAGAACAGCATATCAACTGTTAAAGATTGTCCCACAAAGTTGCCAATGTGATTGTCATTTCCTGTTTGTCAATTTTCAAAATCATTAGTTTAATTTGAAGAATTAAAACTTTTAATCGTCAAACTGGTTTCCTCATTGAACTGAAACACAGACACACAGATATTATCGTCAGTTTATCGATGAAAACAACCTTTGAGTCTTCTGAACAATATAAAATTTGGTTATTGAATATTAAAAATTAATATTCCAAATTAATATGTAGCATGGTTCCTCTTTCATAAAAGAGCATAAAACCACAACGCTACATTAATGGCGAGCCAGCCAGGAGTTCTATATCTGCGATATATCTGATTTCTAACATCTACAAGCTGATTTTTCACAATTTTAGCCTTTTCTCTGTGTTTCACTTTGATGTCTTATTTTGAAAAAAACGGAAATTATTCCGCTGAAGTCACTCTTCCGGGAGACGTCCTGGTGGGAACTTGACGGTGAAGATCTCCGATCTCAAATTGACCGCAAATTACAAACCTAACTTTGATTTATCCCATCTTCGCCTTCGGAGCGAACGTGTGAGTTGTGCTTTTGACTAAATTCTGCCCATTTTGACGCGCCGCCGCGCCTCTAATCTCTTCAGGTCGGAAAGCTACATTTCCGCTCTGAAACCTTGCTGGTTGAGCTACCGTGAGCAGCTTATCCTCAGTCCTAAAATTAAAACTGAATTCTCCGAACCTCCGAACCGAAACTAAATTCTCGGACACCCTTCGTCTCAGTGTGTTGACACTGTGGGCGAGCTATTGTGGAAAATATTTCCATTGCATAGGCGACTGATCAAAGCCGAATCTAAACAGAATGCTCGTAGGCACCTACCGTAGCTTAAATTGCTAGGTAAACGCTGTAAAACGAGTTATGGCCGTCACGCGTTACTGCATTCAGATTGCGTACGCTTTCAAGACCGTTTAGCTAAGCGGAGCGAGATGCCTGCTTGTTAATCGGGAAAATTTAAGTCTGGTCGCTACAGACAAAGGACACTAGACCTAGCCGGAGAGCTAAGCTAGCGAGCCACAGTTGGACAAAAAGGGAACGCGTCCCGTTAAATTGTCAAACCATTTCTGACACAGTCGGTCTGTGTCCTCACAAAACCCGCATTGGCGGTGATTCTTGTAATTCACTATGGTGTGTAGAATCTACAGTTTGCTACGTTTGTCCGTCTGATACCAACACGGCAGCGTAGGGTTTATTTTTTTTTTTATGTTTTTATTTTGGACCGGTGAACGGGTCGGCTTTCGCAGCCTCCATCGCTCGGTTCCATGACTTTTTCTTCCATCTTGTGAGGTTGTGTGTATTCATTTCTCTATCAACAATTCCTTGTTTTACCCTGTGTCATAAAGTTAAGTACGCTACGGACAGTCCTTTATTGTGAGATAAATTAAGGAAGTTGCCCGGAGTTTTACGTCGACTCAGAAGGTAAAAACGCGAGTTGCTCTGAACTTAATGAGAGATGGACGAGACACGACAATATCTTTCTTGCACTGTTACACCTGGTGTAAGGTTCTCTGACGTTCTGCTTCCAGGACATGCAAAGACGCAGGAGTCTGTTTACTGGCCGGGCTACGCTGGTCCCTCCGCCCGCCCGAACGGGCCCGCATTAGGCGGGTGCCGCTGGTCGGGCACGGTGGGGACTAGTGGCAGCGGTTCGGTGCCAGCTGCTTTGGGTCGGAGGTGGTTCTGGTCTGCAATTCATGACGTGAATTCAAGCAACATGCTGTTTACAGTCATAACGCTTTTTCTTTACTTTTATTTCTTCCAGGGGGTCAAAAACCCACCATCAACATCAAGGTTTGAAATAAACAACACTTTCTCTGCTACTTTTAAGCTGAATAAATCTCTTGAGCCTATGGTTAACCTCTCTGACAAACAGGTTGTGCTTAACCCTTTGGTTCCTTATGCTTCTTCTCTGTCATCCATGTTAGAGGCTGAACATCTCTCCAGCATGGGTGTGAAATCTTCAGGCTGTGATCCACCGCTTCAGTCAGAGGTCTGCTTTATTCATCAGTCCGCCTCATGCACAAACCGGCTTCTTTATCGGGGCGTGATGGAAACGTCAGCCGCCGTGAAACACTTGTGGTCTCCGGACGGAGCTACCATGCCATTTGAGGGGTTTGTGCCTGGACATCTTGACCTTTATGTGAATGACCTTGTCACTTTTCAGTTTGTGACCTCTGCTAATACGGTGGCCAATTCCTTTCTCCTTTCACAGGGGTGTGACTTAGTCTCTGGCCTCTGTGCTCTCTTTTCTGTGACTTCTCTTACAGGTGACCACGACGGCGCAGTAAAGTCTGCGGTTTCCAGCAGTCTTGTGGTCAGTGGCGATATTGAAGGTGGCTCGGTGGTTGCTGCGCACACCTCTCTCACGGGCTCGGGAAGGCCACCCGGCCCGGGAGGTGTAGGTGCATGCAGTGATGCCCTGCTCGGGGCCCCTCCTGACAAAAGGGGGGTGCCAAGTGGCACTGAGTTTTCCGTTGCGGACTTCAACCTGTTCGGGGGCAGGCCTCCTTCGAGCGGGCGGGTCATTGCAGAAATCGACACTGACCTTCCACCAATTCAGCTGACAACATTGACCTCCGACCCGGAGTTAGGTGCTGCACCTTCTACGGGGCGGAGTTCTAGTCAGTCTGTAACTACGCTGGTTAAACCGGGTTTTTCTGATTCTGTGTGGGAACCTCCATCATTCTTGGGAATAAAGTATTCTTGGCTTCATTTTTCAGGACAGAACATGTTCCTTTCGATAGTGTCATGTCTGTATCTGATTCTAAACATGGCTAGGTTTGCTTTGACACCCGTGACACAACCATCCTTGGATCACTCCTTTTCAGAACCTCCAAGTCCAACACCTCCAGGTCTTTGGACATCTGAATACCTACTCTTTCAGCACGATTCAGGTGACGCTGTGCATCTTCTTGGTAATAGGGCTTTTAAGAGCTTAAGAACTGTTCTTTGTTATGCTTCTCCTGTCTCACAGACACGGCATAAGTTTGAGAAACAAAAGGGGGGTGGGGAGCCTCCTCCTGCTTTGCGAGCATCAGTTTCGCATTTCCAGTTCACTACTATTTCTGATCACAACAAAGTCGCCTCCGTAAAGCTGCAACCCAACTTTGAGCAGGTAAAATCAGGTTCTGATCTAACAGCTAAACCATCAGCTTCGCTCCAGTTCCAAACGGAACCCTCAGGTAAATTCAAACAAGTTTCCCTGTGGGTTCGTAACACAAGATACAAACAGTTTGATTGCCAAATCGCTTATGAGCCTGCTCCCACAGATACGTCCAAACTCGTGTCTCTGTGGGTCCGCAATACCAGATTCAAAACTCTATTCTAACCAACTCTATTCTGACCGGATTCTTTTCCACTAACTGGTGGACCGTTACAAATTCTCTCGTTTGTGGGATGAATTTTTAACAAATGTGATATCCTTTGAGTTTTTTTTTTTTCAGGTTACCTGCCTCCAGCCAGGGTCCTGCTACTAACTCACATTTTAGGGATTACTAACCTACTGATTTACATTTTTAGAACTGATTTACACCTCTATCTTTTTCTTAGTGCTTTGTGTAGCGTGATTGTATTTGATTACAAATTTAATTTTCTGTTGTTACTATTACTTAAAGGGCCACAAGCCAATTTGCCCTTCATTTTCATGATTATTTCTTTTATATATATGCCTTTAATTAGTGCACCCTGCTGAGTTTCACATATCAGTTAGGATTTACTTTCTTTTATTTGTGTTTTCTCTGCATCACGTTTTTACATGACATGTAGAACAGGGTGCAGGACATTTCTTCTTTAGGTAATTCACAAAAGGCATCCACATTTTCCCAGAGGTACCCATAGATAGATTTTGATTGATTTCTTTGATTTGCATCAAATGCTATCTATCGTGTGGGCTGTCTCACTTTGTCTCCTTCTCCGAGCTCGTATGGACTACATCCCACCAGAGGGGTCGTCTTCACCATCCTTCAACTGGTTTCCTGTCGCATGGGGCTTCGGTCGTGGTTCGAGATGGGTCGAGGTCTGCGCTGGACTTCGCCTGGACTACGCCTGAGGAACACATCACCTGCCCAGCTCCGTGTGGCACACGAGCTGCTTATCCTTTGCATACCTTTGCATTATTGCTGATGAAAATTAACTGCTATTGAAATAGCTCTGCTTTCAAGATTTCCTAAGTGGATTACTTTACAATGATTGCAACAGTTTTGGCCTTAATCATCTGATCAGGATAGACTCCCTTCTACACGAGACCTGTGGTGACGCTTCATCGTTCCTGCCTTAGTCGGGGATGTCTACCTTCACGAGTACATCACGTTATTGAGGTTGTGACGTCAGGTGGCCTCTGTTGACCACCATGTCGTCACAAAAGGGGGGGTCTGTAACGTGAGGAAATATGGGTTTTCTGGCACAATGGTGGTGCTGGACTCAGCTGGGTCAAAGCTGGGTCATTGAGAACTTTCACCCACAGATTAAGACCTGAACGCCAGCGAGTCTGGGAGGAAACCATAACATCAGCCACCTGCAGTCTACCAGAAGACGTGTTTCCATGAGTTGTACCCAGACCAAGTCAAAACATAAAGTTTAAACTTCTTTTTCTTGATTTTAATGTTAAAGTAACCATTATCATTTTGCTCATTATAAATGTGTTTAATCAAATGAATGACTATTATGCTTTGGGGTAATTATAATGGCTTAATGAATCCATTCTTAAATAGTGTTGAGAATGTTTGTTACTGACCTTCACACACTCAAGCACACAAACATTCACACACACCCACACACATCTTCCCACAGTAAACTCCAGACACATTTGATGACGCACACGTTTGCTTTGAGAAGAGAAAGGTTTTTGGTAAGTTTCAGTCTTATGATTGCAGTTCGGGCTTGACAACGAAAGAGAGAGAACCAAAGGGGGGGCAGAGCCGGCTGGCTCGTTTCTCCCCCCTTTCACGCTGTTCCTGCCAAGCCAGGCAGAATAGCTGAATCGCGACTTCTAACGCAGACTCATTACCGAGTCTTTTGATTTCTGAGTGAATTAACTTAAGAAAGCGCGTCGACAAAAGGCTTTACCATCAACGTGTACCGAGGGCAACTCTGGACCGGTTCCGTTCGACACCTACGTCTCCTGTCAGCCGCCGGTGTCATCTGGATGAACCACAACATCCTCCACGGCCCGGATCCGAAAGAGGGTCCACAAGAGTTCGGTGAGACAGCACGGTGTTTAGCGTTTTGATGCATCTTTTCCAACTAAACCTAAGTTTATTCAAACCATCACTTTTCACTCAGACACCTGTTTCTTCCTGAAGCAAAATCAGATGCACACACGCATCCATCTCACATCATATCACTCTCACAACTCACAACATTCTCAATCTTCATAAATTCACCAGAAGGTCTATTTGAGCAAGAACAGCATATCAGCTGTTAAAGATTGTCCCACAAAGTTGCCAATGTGATTGTCATTTCATGTTTGTCAATTTTCAAAATCATTAGTTTAATTTGAAGAATTAAAACTTTTAATCGTCAAACTGGTTTCCTCATTGAACTGAAACACAGACACACAGATATTATCGTCAGTTTATCGATGAAAACAACCTTTGAGTCTTCTGAACAATATAAAATTTGGTTATTGAATATTAAAAATTAATATTCCGAATTAATACGTAGCATGGTTCCCCTTTCATAAAAGAGCATAAAACCACAACGCTACACTAACCTGAAGCTAACCTAAAGCTAACGCGGAGGTGGGAGCTAAGCTAACAGAGGTAGCAACCTAGCTACAACCGGAGTTAACTGTGCACAACACCAGATCTTCTGAGTCAGAGATACGCAGAGCTGCCGATGGGGAGAACCGGGTGGAAAAGTTTCCATCCCAGAGCTCCACAAGCCGGCAGCCCGCGCAGCAGACAGAAGCCGCGATCAGAGATGCTCCGAGCTGCAGGGAGGGGAGAACCGGTGGAAAACATCGGTCTCCCGAGAGCTCCACAAGCCGATAGTCGGAACCCAGCTCCACCAACACGTTATATTGCAACCCATTTTCTAAAGTGCAGCAATATGTTAAATGCACTGGGTTTTACCCTATAAAATTTAAATTTCATGGTTAAACAGTACATGTTAAAATCTAAGCTCAGCTCTATGGGACTAGATTTGGGCCAATAATTTCAAGAAAAACTCTTAGAAGGTCAAACAAAAATTAAGAATGTGCGAGAAAAAAAATAAATTGCAAAAAAAAATTGTTTCAAAAGTGAAACTTACTATACGAATCAACTTATTAAAATGAGTAATAAAAGTATTTGTATTTATTATGTTTGACTCCACGTATTTTTCTTTTCATTTTCCATTGCAATTCTGGCCCAACCCTCTCGGGTGGGTGGGACATAAGAGAAGTGCTCTCCCATTGGACAGTGTGATCCTGAATGACAGTTTGTGACCCGGAACCAGAAGTGACGCTGTCCCGCGATTTTACTTGTTCCTCACGGGTCTTAGCGCCACCCACGTTCATATTTCCCCTGTGTACTGTGGATCAAAGTGAGTATTGATCGTTTATTTGATATTTTCTTGGAAACCCTGAGTTAAAACCCTTAAGTAAAGCCAAGTCAGGCATTAACCAGATGTTAGATCGCTAGCTACCTAGCCAAAGTGCTAGCCAGTACCCGAATGTTCCTCGCTTAGACTGGCAGGTGACCAAGCAAAGCCCTGCTAAAGCATTCGGGTACTGGCTAGCACTTTGGTTAGGTAGCTAGCGATCTAACGTCTGGTTAATGCCTGACTTGGCTTTACTTAAGGGTTTTAACTCAGGGTTTCCAAGAAAATATCAAATAAACGATCAATACTCACTTTGATCCACAGTACACAGGGGAAATATGAACGTGGGTGGCGCTAAGACCCGTGAGGAACAAGTAAAATCGCGGGACAGCGTCACTTCTGGTTCCGGGTCACAAACTGTCATTCAGGATCACACTGTCCAATGGGAGAGCACTTCTCTTATGTCCCACCCACCCGAGAGGGTTGGGCCAGAATTGCAATCAAAACCTCACACAGCGCAAAGGAGAAAGCCGAGAAGTGAAACTGCAAATCTGGTAGCGAGAGCAAAAATCTGAGCAGTGAGAATGAAACAAAGGAAAATGAAAAGAAAAATACGTGGAGTCAAACATAATAAATACAAATACTTTTATTACTCATTTTAATAAGTTGATTCGTATAGTAAGTTTCACTTTTGAAACGATTTTTTTTTTTTGCAATTTCTTTTTTTTCTCGCACATTCTTAATTTTTGTTTGACCTTCTAAGAGTTTTTCTTGAAATTATTGGCCCAAATCTAGTCCCATACAGCTCGGCAGTGACCTAAAATACATAAATATAATTTTACTTACCAAAAAAAATGAAGTGGAGACTCCTTGGAAGCTCTATTAGTGCAATTAATACCACAGCAAGTAATTTTGTCCAACAATTGCACAAAAAATATCCAAAACAGAATACACAAACACAGAAACTCAAAATCCCGGAACAGTTTCCAAGCCAGACCAAGGCTCTACTGAGGCCTTTCCACGGAGCTAGTTCTGCGGTCACGTGGGTCGGATGCTCATTAATTATACAGAATTTTAGGCTTTTAATACACTTAAACAGAAGAGTGAGAAAAAAAATTCACCCCCCCCTCAGAGTTGTCATGAGTGTAAACTAGATCTTTTAAACAAAAAACATGTTTTGGTACCAGGCTGTGAACATGTTTATTTCTGCTGTGAAATTGGTATTTTTAACATGGGAGTCAATGAGGATTTGCTCTCTTCTGACACCAGCCCCCAGCGGATGAGGGTGGAACTGCAATTTTTGGTACTTCCGGGATTGCTTCAATTTTTGAGCCGCATTGTGGGGGCCTGGGCCGTGCGCGAGACGCAGATGCCTGTGGAGCGCATGAGCGCTCTGGTCTGCCTCTGTTCATCCTCGAAGCTGAGAGTCCATAATATGGGTAGAAACTTGATCTTTTTTCGAGCTCAGTTCATGATGGTTTACCAGTATTGTCCAGGGGGAAATATGGAGAGATTTCGAAGAATGGTGGCTCCGGGTTGGAGAGATGGTCAAATTAATTGCGTCATTTACTTTTAACACGTTAAAATAACAAAATTAATGCTAATAATTAACGCGTTAATTTTCCTGGCCCTACTAAAAACCTGTAACCATGTTCAAAAGTCATCTTTTTGGTGATCTTATTTCTCTTAGTGTTGTTTTCAGTTTGTTAGCTAGCTTGCTAGTTATGAAAGGTTGCTTGGTTATCAGTATTGTGCATGCTTCAGTGAAATGAAAAGGACTAAAATGTACTTTATCAAATGTTTCTCTAGCAGAACATCTAAAAGTACACATTTCCAGTAGGTTTTTTCTTTCTGTCTTTACAAATTTTAACAAATGTTTTTGATATATTTTTCTTGAGACATAGACGGTTAAATAAGTGAAAGTAAACAACATGAAAACCCCTTTTTTATACCAACAGCAAGTATGGGAACCAGAATTCACACTTCAGAAGGAGCATCAGCACCTACTCGTCTCCTCAGAGCTGTGGGCCTTTTTACAGGAGACATGCGACAGTTTGGAGAGTGGGTGAAAAGTAAGCAATGATCTTCTTAAGTGATGTGTCAGTTACATAGTTCACATTTAAGTCCTGAAATCATAAATGACATGTTTGACAGGGCAGGTTTTTATCATCCAGCTGTTGGACTGTGTTTTAAGAGGAGTAGCGCAGGTGATGTTTGTCAATAACCCTCTCAGCGGGCTCCTCGTCGTCATCGGCCTCTTCGTGCAGAACCCATGGTGGGCTCTGAACGGTCTGCTGGGTACAGCTGGATCCACTGTGTCTGCTGTACTGCTGAGACTAAACAGGTCAGATGGTGTTTCTTTTACCACTTGTGGGCGACGGTGGCGCAGGAGTTAAGTGCTCGCACCGTAATTGGAAGGTTGCAGGTTTGAAACCCGCGCAGTTTGTCGCTGTCGTTGTGTCCTTGGGCAAGACACTTAACCCACATTGCCTGCTGGTGGTGGTCGGAGGGACCGGTGGCGCCTGTGCTCGGCAGCCTCGCCTCTGTCAGTGCGCCCTTGGGCAGCTGTGGCTACATCATAGCTGAACACCATCTGTGTGTGAATGCGTGTGTGCTGACTGATTGTGTTGTAAAGCGCCTTGGGGGGGTTCCAGGACTCTAGAAGGCGCTATATCAAATACAAGTCATTTACTATTTGTTTAAAAAAAAAGAGGTTCTTAAAACCAATTTTTTTGGAATGGTTTCTTGGTCTTCAGCTTTACATTCAGCTCTCATGCTCTCCACAGGGAGGCTGTATTAGCAGGATTACATGGCTACAATGGAGCCCTGGTTGGTTTGCTCATGGCTGTATTCTCTGCTAAAGGAACCTGGTACGGGTGGCTCTTGGCTCCAAATTTGTTTATGTCCATGTTGTGGTAAGTTTCTTGCAAATATTAAATGTTTTTGCATGAAATCCAACTCTAATGTAAAAACGAATGTCACACTTATGAGACTCGTCCAATCAGTGCCTAATGTCTCGGTTCACAGCCCAATTGTCTCCAGTGCTTTGTCCTCAGTCGTGAGCCGATGGGACCTTCCAGTGTTCACCCTGCCCTTTAACATCTTGGTGTGTTCACACATTGCAGCTACGGGATCCACTCACCCATACTTCCCAGTGGTACGGTGCAACTCTGCTACACATAAGGATTTACAAAGAGCAGATCCAAGTGATGCTGTTCTGGTATTTTTCAGGTGGATATCCAGCCAAAGCTACATCTGCATCAGAATAACTCCTTTGAAAACCTCAGTTTACCCCAGGTGGATTAAAACATCTACACAATCTGAATCACTATGCAGTTTGTTTTTTTGTCGTAATGTAAATAGGATGTACGACTCGTTAGAGATGATCAAGTGGCGGCTTTCCCTGCAGCTATTCTTGTCGGTGCCAGTTGGCGTCGGCCAGGTGTTTGGCTGCGACAGTCCTTGGACAGCAGGTCTTATCCTTCTGGCCCTGCTGCTCTGCTCACCTACTATCTGCTTCCATGCCATCCTGGGCTCTGCGGCAGGCATGTGTGTTGGTAAAAGATTCTCAATGCTTTGCAAAGTCAACGTTGACACTTTGTGATGCGTCATAGCGTGTTTTCTCAATGACAGCTTTGTGGAGTGCTGGATGTGCGTGTAGATCATTTGGATTGTTGTTCTGTGGTGCAGGGCTTGTTCTAGCTGCTCCTCACATGGATGTTTACTCAGGAATGTGGGGATATAACAGCGTTCTGTCCTGCATTGCTGTTGGAGGAGTCTTCTATGCTTTAACATGGCAAACACACGTATTGGCTCTAATTTGCGGTAAGGGTTTAACTGGTTTAATTTCATTACCAGGTATGTGAAAGCCTCTATATCACTGTTTGTTTATTTTTTTGTTTTCAGC